TAGAGTTGGTCCTTAAGAACAGATGCTTCTATGTAATGCCTTTTGTGAGGATACGAGCAGGGCAGAAGCGGGGAGGAAGAGCATAGGGGGGTGGTAGGAGTGGTTAATGAAGGGGCAAAGGTCTCACTTTCTGTCCCTCGGAAGCTCCTGTTTAAACAGAGACTTTGCCTTGGCAGTTCCCAGCTCCCGATCCTGCAGGGTACCAGAAGTCTTTGTAGACCTCAGTGGGCTTTTTGCCTTGTCCTGTGATGGGAAAAGCGAGTTCAGAGGCCTTGATAAACCGGAGGAAAATGTGCGCCATGGGGCTGGCTGATTGCACTGGGAGCATCTCCCTCATCTGTGGTGTAGAGAAATATCCCAGTTCTATGCCTCATCCCTACTAGCCTGTGAATACGGAGCTGGTGTTGTTGCTGGGTGATCCAAGTGTTGTTGCTGAGTGTGAAGCAAAAGGGATAAAGTTTATAGCCTTTATAAACCCACTGCAAAGGCAGTAAAAGTCCAGAACTATCCCATTAGCAGCATTATGTGTCGGAAAGGAAAAGAATAAATGGGGTAATGTTTTGTGCATGTCACATGTGATCATGCCTTGCTCTGTCACCATCATTCTCATGTTTCTTCCTATTACAATCACTGTGAATTATGATGCTGGAAAAAGCCCATGGCAGGGGGATGGAACTGGATGGTTTCTAAGGTCCCTTCCAATCCAAACCATTCTGTGATTCTATGGTGCAGAGAGTCTGAGTGCCATCAAGACCCTACTGACCCTAAAGTGATGCAGAATGTGTGGGAAACTGGTATTCCCTTCTCAAAGGTCTAATAAGGCAAATAGAAAAGAAGGAAGGGAAATAACTTACCTGAAGCCTTGCAGCAGGTCCATGGCATCTCCCCAGCTTTGCAGAAGAATCCTCTGCTATAGATTCTTTACTTCCTTAAGGAGGGATGCTTGTTGGCCTTGAAAGTTGACAACTAGCATGTTTCTCAATGTTATGGGATCCAAACAAAGGATACAGAGGAAAAGCATCACCAGCAAAGCTTTAAATGGTTTTGTCTAAGTAGGGTGTATAAATAACGTGTGTGGTCTTCTCACCGTGCTACTAAGTGCTTGAAGAGAGATGGAGGAGCTCAAGGTGTACACATCAGTGAGAAGGATGGAAAGCTTGGTTTAAAGTGAGAAAACAGCTTTCTAAAAGAGATAGGGTTTGGAGAGCTCTCCCGTTCCATGGTGTTCTCCCCGGTGGCTGCTGCTAACAGAGGATAAGACTTTCCTGCTGCTCTCTGTGGAACTGATCCCACACTTCCAACTGAGAGATTTAGACTTTAAAGTAGCGGTTCTTGCTGGTGACTGGGAGGAATTTGGCTGATGAGTGAGGATTACTGCTCTTATCTGCACAATTCCCTCTTCCTCCAGCCTGCCCGAGAGGAACGGGATAAAATCTGATGGAACAAACGGGGTCGTGAAGCAGGGGCACAGATTTGCCTGTCCACAAATAGGCAAGTTTTAGCCCAGCTCAGAGCCTGATAAATGACAGTCCTTACTCATGATAATCTCAAGCCACAGTTTCCCCCTAAATGAAGGAAGGAAGAATCTTCAGTCCCAGGAGAAGCCGTTGGAAAAGGCTGGGATACTGCCCAGAGAGGCAATCTATCACTGCAAGCCATTAAGTGTGCACATCCCAGTGTTTTCCTTGCATCGACCCTTTGTGTAAGCCAGGCCATAAGCACCTCTCTAATGTAGATCAGTCATTACATTTCCTAAGAGCATGCGGAGTTATCACCAGCAAGATAAGTGTTCATGTTGGGGGTTTATTTGTTGTCCTTTTCTTTAACATAGGATGTATGTATTCTATAGATAAAAGAGCTGACACATGAGCAATCTGGAAAATGCAATGATAAGGCCTTGCACCCTGGTAAGAGTATTTTATTTAACATACCTCAACAATTTCTATGTCAGGCACTTAGATGGTAACTACATTCATGTTATTTCTATATACTAATCAAGGAAATGCAAGGGATCCCCTTGGAAATGGAAGCTCATCCAGAACAAAGACTGAGGACAGAGAGAGCAGTTCTGTTCATGACATACAAGCCTCGAAGCCAGTCCCTTTATCCATAGTTTTATGGATATAGTCATAAATGACTAAGTTTAGTAGCAACTTCTGAAGTTATGACTGAGATCCCCCTAAGTTAGCACGCATCATTTGACCTTTGCCTGCTCCCTATATATAGCCCCAGTTTCAAACCTGGTGGATAAAATCACAACCGAGCATTGTAAATTAAATCTCTCCATGTCTCCTTCTCCACTAAGTTGTAACTTTCCCCCTAATTTCTCCCAAGAATCCACCGTGCCCTTTCCTCCCTGGCCTGGCCTTTCCTCACCACAGGAATTACTTATGTAAATTGGAACTTAATCCCCCGAAGGCAAACTTGCAGTTCAAGTCCAAGTGTCTGCTGGCATGGCCAACTGGAACCAAGGCGGTCAGGGGATGGCGGATGCTTAGCATTTTGTCCCGTAGCCGAAGACAATCCCAACCCACAAGGATCTCCTTCAGGTTACAAAGGCACCCAGCCAGATTTTCCCTCTGTTCTTTTAAACACGTTCATAACACAATAGATAAAAGGAAGAAGAAAGCAAAAGAAAAAGAGGGGGGGAGAGGAGGGGAAACCCTCCCAGAAAAGTGAGCTAAGGCTGAGTGCATTCCCAGCAATGTGGTGACCGTATTGTCTGCCCCTGGGACTCTCAAAGGAATGGAATAAAAGGAAGACAGCAACCCAGCAGGCAGCTTCTCAGGGAGCCGTCTGCCTTCCAGCCCCTTGATGTAATGCTTGAACAGGTGCAGTATAAAGGATGCTGAACTGGTGATTACTGGGGCTGCTGGAATGGGTTTCCTCTCCGCTTTCTGCTGAGGTTTTGCTTAAAGGAATGAGATGATGGGCTACTCCGACCTCCCAAAGACTACCTGTCACAAGGGGAATGCTTTGAGCGAGAAGAGGGTCACATATGAGACATGGACCTTGTTTCTGCTCTTATTTACATTGCTATAACCAGGAGCAGTTCCTGTGGAGCCACTGCAGTGATGCGCTTGCAGCACGAGAGCAGAACTGAGGCTGTGTTCCAGGGATGCAGAAACATTGCTGGTGGTGGAAACTCTTGAGTAAGGATATGGCCTCCTGGCTACTCCCATACGTGCCAGCATCTGAAAACACTTTTAAGCCCTACAGGCAGCACAGCAACTGGAGAGGACCCATTTTTCTTTATCGATGCAGGCAATAGAACGTTCACTGTGAGGTTTTCTACTGTTCCTCTGCACACTCTGGCACAAGGAACTGCCTCTTTTCCATGGGGCCAGCGTGGTGCCTGGGTAAGGACCTACACAAGACCAAGAGACCTGGCTCTGCTCCCTTGGAGCTGCTCTGGGTCCTCCAGCAGATGATTCCAGGCAGGGCCAGAGCCATAGGAACACGCTACAGGAGTTATTTGGGTTCCTCTTAGGCCTCTTTTCTAAGATCTAATTATTTTTGTGCTCAGAATTCGGGTTCTCCTCACTTTCCCTTGTCTGTTCTGGATGGTATCTCCAAGGCAAGAGCTGCTCCTCACAATATACCAGGGTTCTCACACCGACACATGCCCAGATAAAGCTGTGGCTCCCACCCCTGGCAGTGTTCAAGGCCAGGTTGGATGGGGCTTGGAGCAAGCTGCTCCAGTGGAAGGTGCCCCTGCTTTTGGCAGGGGTTGGAGCTGGAGGAGCTTTAAGGGCCCTTCCAACACAAACCATTCCATGGTTCTATGATTCCCTGGTTCTGTTTCTAGGATTCTAGGATTTATGGGCCCTGCAGGTGCAATCCCGTACAGCACAACTCACTGTACTTCAGCACCTCCTGTATGAAGACAGGATGAGAAAGTTGGGGCTGTTCAGCCTGGAGAAGAGAAGGCTGCGTGGAGACCACAGAGCAGCCTTCCAGTATCTGAAGGGGGCATATAGGGATGCTGGGGATGGACTCTTCATTAGGGACTGTAGTGACAGGACAAGGGGTGATGGGTTCAAACTGAAACAGGGGAAGTTTAGATTGGATCTAAGGAGGAAATTCTTTCCTGTAAGGGTGGTGAGGCACTGGAATGGGTTGCCCAGGGAGGTTGTGAATGCTCCATCCCTGGCAGTGCTCAAGGCCAGGTTGGACGAGGCCTTGGGTGAGATGGTTTAGTGTGAGGTGTCCCTGCCCATGGCAGGGGGATGAAACTGGATGATCTTAAGGTCCTTTCCAACCCGAACTCTTCTATGATTCTATGATTATTTCTCTTTCCTGGTTTCCAGCTGATTCCTGACGCTTGTCCTGCTGGGCACAAACCTCCAAAGGGCTCCCTTTCCCTCCTTCCACGCAAAGATAACACAAACAGGTGCCAAAGGGGTTAAAGGCCTCCTGCAGAAGGAACCGCCGGGAGCAGGACAGCCGGTGGCGCTCTCGGAGCCCGGATCTGTCAGGGATTGCGGAGATAATGGGATTTGCGGAGCGGTCCCGGCTCATCCCTCCGGCGCGATCCATGTTGGCTGGCTCGGGCACGCATCCAGCGGTTTGCACACCCGGCTGCACACTGGGATTCCTGGGAGGGAGGGAGGGAGGGAGGGGAGAACAAAAACACGGAGATGCGGCGTAAAGCGGCCGGAGGTGGGGAGGGAAAGGGGGGTAAAAACAATACTGACACCAATAATGCAATTAAACCATCTCTCAAACACACACACACAGAGGCACGCGGAGAAACGCACCCGCCCCAGCCTGCGTGCAGCACATGAACCTCGGCTTTTAGCGGAGCCATGATTGTACGGGGGAAAAGGGGGGGCTCTGTGTGTCCATAGGCTGGCCCCGGTTACCCGGTCGAACACCCCGCAACCCCCACGAAGGGCGTCGGGGCTGCGAGCGGGGGGAGCGCGGAGGAGGAGGAGGAGGAGAGAGGAGGAGGAGGAGGAGGGAGGAGGAGGAGTGTGTGCGTAGAGGGAGGCGGGGGGGGGGAAAGGAAACCCTCATGGAAGTATGAAGGAGATGGTGGGAGGCTGCTGTGTCTGTTCTGATGAGCGGGGCTGGGCGGAGAACCCGCTGGTGTACTGCGACGGGCACGGCTGCAATGTGGCGGTGCACCAAGGTAAGGCACCGGAGACCGGCTCGGCCCGACCCGACCGGCACCGGGCACCGCGGGGCGGCCGCCGCCTTCCTTCCCCCCCCCCCCCCCCTCCCCCGGTCCTGAACCTCCGCCGGGCGCCCCGGGGAGGCCAAAGGGAAGGCGGCGGGGATGGGGGGGGACACACACGGACACACACAAGGGGGAGGCGAAGGGATGGGGGGGGGGCTTTGTTTTATCCCTATTGTTCCAAATAACGGTGTCGCCGCCGGCCTGGCTCGGCGGAGGAGCCGCGGGGGGAGCGGGGCGGGCATCAGCTGCGCCCCGGTTGCCGGGGATGGCGATGGGGGGACACACACGACACACACGCACCTCCGGGGGTGCTCGTTACCGGGAGCCGCGGGGGGGGTGTGGTGGTGGTTGTGGTGCCTCCGGGTTTCCCCCCCACCCCGTTCCATCGGGTAGGGCGGGATGCTGAGCCCCGGGGAACGGGGTGTGTGTGTGTGTGTGGGGGGGGGTGTCCGGTACCGTCCGGTACCCTCCGGTAACCCCCGGAGCGGGGGTTAATAGGGCAGCCCCTCTGCTCGTAGGGCTGCGGGTGATTTGCATATTAAATGACTTGGAGCACGCCCCTAACACACGGCACCGGAGTGGAAAGTTTGTCCTCGGGTCTCCCACCCAAACAACAACAACAGCAAGATTAAAAGGATATGGGTTTGCTTTCGCTCCACGGCAGCAGAAAGCCACCGTGATTACCCTGGCTGCGTTGTTTTGAATAGCACGAAGGTTTCTGGGCTCATCTGGCATGTCTGTTTTTCCATCTATTATTATCCCATCCATCCACCAGCACATTACCAGCTTCTTCCTGTACAAGCTCTCCCTCGGTGCCTTGATGCTCCTGGTTCCAGCTCCGCTGGTCCCTAGGTCCGGAGCTTGGGCTTGCTTTTGCTTCCCCTGCAGTTGGTGTTGTCCCTGCTCACAGGTTATTAAGAAGTGGCTTACAAGCAGGTGACTAGAGGGGAGTTACAATGAGGAAGTGAAGCTTGTGGGGGTTTCTCTTCAGTCCGAGGTGATGCTCGGGTGTCTCCTGGCATCAAGCATCCCTGAGGACCTGGCAGGGCTTCCCTATGGAAAGATGCTTCTTTCTGGTTTAATTTTGCTGTTAGAAGTCTAACAATTCTCATTATTTATCAAACCCCATACTAGAGAACAGGTTTCTTCATTGCTCTCTTTTTTGGAGGGAAAGGAAGGGCATTGGCATCCTTCTGCCCAGTCCCAAGATGAATAGAAACACTTTTGCTTACTGGCAAAGACAGCTTCACATGTGGAAGAGCAGTTTCAAATGCACCATGCTTTTATTCTTTTAGGGTGCTTGTTCCTAGGCCCGCACAGGTCTGGTGTTTGGATGGTTTTGCTCTGCTGTTGTTTTGGTGGAGTTGGAACATGTGAGAAAAGCTTCCAGAAGGGCATCGCTTGCAGGCCTGGAAACCCCAACTGTCTGCTTAGGTCCTGGGTATCCTTCAGGATATAGTAATGCATTTGTTGCTTAGGGAAGCTGTGGCTGCCCCATCCCTGGCAGTGCTCAAGGGGACACAGGGGCTTGGAGCAAGCTGCTCCAGTGGAAGGGGTCCCTGCCCTTTGCAGTGGTTGGAACTGGATGAGCTTTAAGGTCCGTCCCAACTCAAACCATCCTGTGCTCCGATGATATGCAGTGTAGCAGTGTGTAGCCGATGTTCTTCAGCCCTCTTTTAAAACCCTGCTCATAACCCTCTCAGGAGCATGGTGGTTTGGTTGGCTTTTGTTTCTGAAGTAGAAACAAACCACTGGAGGGGATCATCTCTCTCATTCGGTGCAATCACACCCAGGGTTTGGTGCCTGTGCTGTTTGTATATCCGCAAAACCAAAGTTACCTTTTGATATGATTGTACAGCTAAATAACACTGGACTTAAAAAAAACCCTTATTTTATAGCTACACTTTAGGGCTGACTCTTAAAACCACCAGTCCCAGTTGTATGATGGTGCTTCGAAATCTGCCTACCCAGGAAACAATTCTGAACGTTAACAAAACCATCTGATTGAAATGAAGCTCTAATAAGATAGTTAAGAACCCTTATGAATCATATTGTCAGCTCTGCCTTACTCATGGTCTCCTTCCTTGTTTCCTTCCTTTTCGAAGCAGCGGGCACAGAAGCTCACACTGGCTCCAGCTGAGTGCTTGCCTTTGGCCCTAAGCCTGCTGCTAAAGATGGACCCAGACTCCTCTGTCATTGCTTTCATGTAGCTTCTATTTTCTTGTGCGTATGCCTTGGCTCATCTCACAGTCAGCTCTTTCAGTTTAACTCTACAATTGCATTCATTTTCCTGCCTCTTGTGGGATAACAGACCTTAGAGAGATGGAGAGAACCTATTGCGGGTCGTGTCTGGTCCATCCCCTGGGGAATATCACAGGATTGCTTCCAGCAGGATATTTTCAGATGCTTTGTCCAACCTAGTTTCAAATGTCTCAAGTGACTGGGATTCCATTCCAACTGCTAGCTTGCATTTGAAGGTGGAAAAAGGAAGATATAATTTGTTCTTTCCTAGGAGACTCCCATACCCTTGTCTGAGATGCGCAGTCTTCTTACCACTATCATCACCAGCCTCTTTTGCTTTAAACCCACTTGCGTGGTGGCTAAGAGCCCTTTCAGGGTCAGAAACGCTTCCTTTGGGACTCACAAAGAGCATCCTTGGAGAGTTAGAGGGAGGAGATCACAGAAGAAGGTGAACAATCTTCAAGCAGTGTTGCCCCATCAGAGAAGGGCTAATTGTAAGCAAGTGGGAGCTGGAGCTTGCAGAGGGAGACCCTGAGAGCATCAGTAGCGATGTAGAAAGCAAGAGGGACGTGAGGTATAGCTGGATAACACCAGATCTATTGGGTTAGCAGCTGGAGGCTTGTACTGGCACAGAACCTGCTCACAGGAGTAGCCCTAAACAGCCTGAACTCAGTGGTTTTGGAAGCCTGCTGGGAAAGGCTGGACTCGGAGCCAGTTCTGCTTGGTGTCTGTCTGAATTCTCATCGGGAGTATTTCCTTCATTATGCTGAGATTTAATCTTAGTCCTGTTTATGGTTAAGGGACTTCATAGCCATCCTTTTCCCAATGTTATATTTAGAATGATGATGACTCTTCAGAGGTAAGAAATGACTCTGTTTGTGTTCCCTAGGCCAGATGTAGCCACCCTTTATGAAGCACTCCATTCCTGCTTAGGCCAGGTTCCATAGGAATTTCTCATCCTGGCCAGGAGCTTATTGGAAAGCTTGTGTAAATGGACCTCTTGCAAAATGCTCCCTGTTGCTGGGTATGGAAACTCAAAAGAGGAATAAAACGTGCTGTCGATATCATTTTGGGGTTTTGACACGCATCTCTGAGTGATAACAGCTCTGGCAACCTTTTGTATACCCCTGACATATGAAATAGCTGATTTAAAGATGATCTAATGAACTCTCTTTGCTTTTCTTCCAGCTTGCTATGGAATTGTCCAGGTTCCTACCGGACCCTGGTTCTGTCGGAAATGTGAATCCCAAGAGAGAGCCGCCCGGGTGGTGAGTACCGAGCACGCTTGTGCTTACACTGAGGAGCAGGTTCATTCAGTGCCCTTCATGCCACTACTGGGAGCCCCTGGCAGAAGCTACGGAGCCTGGAATTCCAGCACTGCTGATTGCAGCCCCAGCTCTGCCTGTAACCCGCTCTATCTCGTTTATACCATAGGCATAGTTGGGTTAAACAGTCTGATACAATGCTGTTAGCCGTTTTGGTGACAATTCTGCTGAATTCTGCTCTTCAGCAAGTTCTCAATGTCAACAGCTTTGAGGCTTGGAGACCTCGGTCTCATTTAGAAAAGAAAAAGCATGGCATTCTTCTAAAAGGTGCTTTCCCTGCTCTGCAGGAAGCTTTGGAGTGGAGGAAAGTTGGCATCCAGGGATGCTGCTATGCTGTCAAAGTTACCGTGCTGGCTGCCAGGCTGGATTGGCACTCGGATCTCCCTTGCAGCAACAGTTTCCTGCGTAAAGCCTTCTGAGTCTGTGAAGCAGCGAAGTGACAGGGAGGTGGATGAGGGCTCAGTTTCTGGCTAAAGCAGTGATTCAGCAGCCTAGAACATTTACAACTGTTCTCAATTAATTCTGGCATTTCCCGGTGAGGCAGGGAAGTGGAAACAATCAGGCCCAGGGCTGCCTCTGAGCTCTATGTGGCAAAGTTATTTGGGCAGTAAACTAGGCTGTGAGTTTATGGCACGCCAGCTACTCTGCAGTTACTCCCCACGTGAGCCCTTATCTGATACGGCTGCACCATAGAGCATCTCGAGTTGGAAGGGACCCATAGGGCTCATGGAGTTCAACTCCCTGCTCCTCCCAACCGACTGCTGGGGCATTGGGATGTAGCTCTTTAACGTGTTAGTGATGCTGTGGGTGCTGCTTTTGCCATGCAGTAAATCTTCCCCATTTCCTGCCTTTTGAACTGGTTTAGCTGAATCTTTTCTAAAGCACATGCTTAGCAAAGTTGATGTAGGTGAGCTCTGTGGCTCTGTGCAGATAGCGTGCTTCATCTCAGCTGGGCTCTGCTCGCTGCGCTACAGAAGCTTAATCTGTTTCACAGATGGGCAAAGAACTTGGCAAAGATGAGTGAATGGGGGGAATTAGGTATCTGTACCATGCTTTTGACGTTGCATTAACTCATTCCTCGTTGGAAGTGGGAGTGTAAACAAGGCCAGACTTTCAGACCCGAGCTGCTCCCCCATTGTAAGATGCTGCTTTTATGTGCCCTGCAGTAAAGAAGATCAAATGTGTCTTTGAGTGGTTTTACATCCTGCAGGTAGTTTCATAGCAAATAAAGGGAATTTGGGTTTCCTGGGCCTCCTTCCCCCTGCTCTCCCAAATGTGCAGGTAGAGTGAAGCCATTCAGCATTAGCTACAATGCAGTGTGAGCTGTAGTAACAGGTATACACACAACCCACCTTACCTGTACTCGTTGCAAGGACTGACTTTTCACATCCACATTACACACTTCAAGCTGCCTTTAAGGTATCAAGACAACAATAACCCTGCAGGTGGCTCCTTATTTAACTTGCTCTGGGTGAAAGCCATTAGACAATGCCTGGTGGGCTTCAGTCGTGCCATTCAGTCCCATGGCATTCAGTTCTGCTACTATAATAACTCAACAGTGATAATCTTCCTTCCTAAGCAGAGCTGGGGGTGATTTCCTATCTAAATCCCTTACCTTTTCAGTTCAACAGCAGCAGTCATAGCAACAGACATGCAGATGGGTAAATCTAGCTCTTTGATGTAGGGAGCAGCATGATCAGAGTAAGGGAAATGAGTCAGGTCTTATGAGATCTGTGCATGGCTCTGCTACTAAACCACTTCAGAGTTGGGCTCTGTGGTCCAGCGAGGCTGGAGGTGTGACTCTATCACTGCCCTGGGGTTCCACTGCTTTCCCCCGGTGTAAAGAGGGCATTACCAGCCTGCAGGCACTGCCTTGAGGAGCTCGAAGGTGAGGTGCTGAGATTTGAGCACGAAATAGCATCAACAGGATGGATTGCTGTTCGTGTTTCTTTCATAATGAGTGTGTGGCAAACTCCTTTGAAAAACAACAGTGTTTTTCTTCCCACATCTGCCTTCACAGAAGCATCTCAAAGGAGTTTACAAGCTTTGTCCATAACAAACAGATAAATATTGATACTTCTGCGTTGAAAATGAGATACGGAGGCACGGAGAACACTGCGCTCCTCAGCGAGTGCTTTTGAAACATAGCTCTCCTGATTCCTGTATCCATCCTTTGGAGAGATGGACTCCATCCCCAATTCGGCTTTGGACAGAGGGCTCAGGAGCTCTCATTTTACCCATCACAACCTGGTTTAAATCGACCAAGCTCAGCTCTTTTTCCCAGGGTTGAAATAAACCCCCCCAGAGACCTCCTTGGCCTGTGCAGGTTGAATAAGAGGAAGAGGTACTGCTAATCCCTGCTCATAACCCCTCCTCAGATGCTCAGGTCCCTAAAGGATGCTGTGGATGCTATTGTGCTTACAGTAAGCAACTGAAAGCCCATCCACTTTGTAATCAAATTGTCTAGGAAGCCCGGTGAGCTGAATGGCCAGAGGGCACTCATGTGAGGGATCATGTGAAGGCTTTAGCTGTCATTTGGAGGCAGGGCTATTAAAAGTCTTGTGTGGGGCCGATGGAGCTGTTAACCCCTCTTGTTACAATCAGAGCTTTGCTAATCGCATGGTGGGAGAGCGGCTTTGATCTGAGGGGTGGAGGGGAGAGCGGAGGGGCCTTTTCAAGTGCAAATTTCTTATTACAGTGTCTCAGTTAACCCATTTCTTCTTCTGTCTTGGCTCTGTCGGGCTTTCCATAGTGATTGTGAGAGCAGCTCTGGCAGCCCAGACCTGACCAGGAGCACTGAGAGCCCCATCCTGTATCACCCATCCCTGTTTCAATCTAAGTTGCAGGGAGAGTGAAACAGGGTCCTGACATGACAGCAGTGCTGGTCTTTGTCCCCTCATCTCTTCTGTGTTATCACAGGGCTTTGGGGCTTGCCAGAGGTGCCCGTTTCACAGCCCTCCATGCTTCACTCCCATGAAAGCACTTGAGGATTGGGCTTAGCCTCTCTTGCTGCCCATTGCGTTACAGTCCTATTTATTGTGCCAGTCTATCCAGAAGGTGGAATTGCAGCAGAGGAAAGCTTGCTTAAGGAAAACCTTTGTGGAAGGTCCTCGGGGACTGCTTGGTAGCAGAGGCTGTTCCTTGTAGCCTTGCTCACTCCAGTGGTGTTCCTTGATGCATGGAGCATCTGCGCTGTTGTGCTCACCAGAGCTGAGCGATCACAGTGAGGTGAGAGCACAGGGTCCCACACACTCATAGCAGCAGAGGTTCCTGTCTCCCTTTGACATCAGGCACCTCATTTAGAAACTTTCTGATGAAACCAGTCAGAAACTTTCTGACAAAGCACATTTTTTCACAGAAAACATGTGGGTTTGTTTTGGGGTTTTAAGAAATCTGACATTTTAACTGGGGGAGGAAATGGAGAGGGACTTTTTTACAAGGGCCTGTAGGGACAGGCCAAGGGGAATGGCTTGGACCTGCCCGAGGGGAGACTGAGCTGAGCTCTTAGGCAGAAGCTCTTCCCTGTGAGGGTGCTGAGGCGCTGGCACAGGGTGCCCAGAGAAGCTGTGGCTGCCCCATCCCTGGCAGTGCTCAAGGCCAGGTTGGACACAGGGGCTTGGAGCAAGCTGCTCCAGTGGAAGGGGTCCCTGCCTGTGTCAGTGGTTGGAACTGGAGGAGCTTTAAGGTCCCTTCCAACCCAAACCATTCCATGACTCTGTGAACTGGTTTGCACCTTTTCATGCCTTTTTTTTTGAAGTCAAAGGAAGCAAAAAGCACATTGAAACCTCCCCTGACCCATGCCATCAGAAGCCAGCGGCTGTTTCAGGCATGTTTTTGGGCTGTTTTGATGTGGCAACGCACCCCAAAAACGACCCCACCTTCCACCAACCCTTCATAAAGGCTTTATGGCAGGGGGCAGAGCCTTCATGGCGTAACAGGCCAATGTGGAGGCTGAAATGAGTGAGGGGCTCATGTCTGGTGCCCCTGCTGGACCCCAATGGAGAAGACAACGTGTTCTTCATGGTTCTCCCCCAAAATATCTCGAGAGAGAAGGAAGAAAGGAAAGAGGCAAAGACAGATCATAGGTAATGGTTTCTTTCTGTTTGCCTCCTCTCCGAGTCATGGCTTTCAGTTTTACCCCCAGCCACAAAGCCTAAACCCATTCTTGTTTCAGAAAGCCCCGTGAAAGTCAAGGTTCACTTGTTGCCCTGCATCTCTTGTGCTGAGGCGTTTTATACACCCCCATCAGACAGGATGGCATCGAGCTGTGTCAGAGCATCTTTGCACACCCAAACCACCCTCAGCCCTTCTTCCACTTCCTCTCTTTGAAAGCAGCCCCAGCTTTCATACCCATGTTGTAAATGAATCATCTTTTCTGGCCCCGTGTCACCGGGAGTTCGATTAAACTTCTTGTTCCTGCTTTAATTTCCAGAGATGTGAACTGTGTCCCCACAAAGATGGAGCCCTGAAACGGACCGACAACGGAGGTGAGTACGTCTGCATGGAGCTGGGTACGTCCACAGAGCACTGGGGCTGGCCCAGAGCACACAGGAACTCGTGTCCGAGCCTGTGTCACCAGCAAGGGAAGGCTGGAGGCTCCACATGAATGGAAGCACTGCCTTTTCCTTGCAAAACTTCACTTTCTGAAGCCTCCATGCTGACAAGACCTGTCCCTATGGAGAAGCCTCCCAGACCTCTGGCTGCCATTGGAACATGCAGCTTCTTGAGTGTAAAGTGCATGATCTGGCTTTAAGAGAAATGGGGATGTTGCAGTTATTTGCTTCATGCTTGCACAGCAGCAATGTGATCCTTGAGTTACCAGAGCTTCAGCTTGGAGTCCCCATTCAAGAGCAGGGACCAGGATGCAGTAAAGATGCTTTTCTCTGCAGAACTCATCGTTGATGCTTCTCAGCCTCTGGTGCTGGGAAGTACCATGGAGCCTGATTTCAGTTGTCAGAGCTTGTAGCTATTGATGCTACTGGCTGCGTAGATCACATTTAATTCCTCTCAACCCCCTGCTTTTCAGAAAGGCTTCTGTACCTACCTGCCACTTACCTTAATACACAAAGAGTTAAATTAGACAAAGAGGTCTTTCTTCTCTTTAGAGAAGAGGCACCAAGTCCAGGATATCTTGTAGAAGCATCTTCTAGAGGTGGTCGTAAGTGCTAAGAGACTTGGTGCAATAGCACAAGTATTGTGCTGGGGGGTTGTTTTATAGTAACATAGCATCTTCTTCCAAACATATTATTACATGGTTTGGTCAGGTCGGTGTAGACAGGCACAAGAAGTGCTAGAATCATGTCCCTTTACAGAATTACATAGCTCAAGTGCTTATGTTGCTGTAAGATTCTGTGATCATGGAGTTTGGTTCTGCCTGCCCAGGTGAATCCATCCTTATGCTAACTAAATCCTTCCCGTGCAGTAGCCATACCAGTATGGATTAGCCCCCTAAGGCTTCTGACCTTCGAACTTGCTCCTTTCTGATGTGACCAGATGGAATTTCACCTTACACATCTGTATTTGTGAAGTGGCTCAGTGGCTTTAGATTTTAACTTGATTTGACTTGCAGAAAAAGAGCCTTCCTCAGCCGTTGATAACAGCCAATAAAGGGAGCTTTGTTTGCAGTGGTGTGGGGCTACACGTCAAACCTGTCCCATCGACAGGAATTGCAGCTCTTGGATGCTTTGCCTGGGTTTGGTTATGTCTTAGTTTGGGTCTCAAGTGCTGGGGGGATGCTTTTCAGAACGGTGGGTGCTGTACATCTCTGTTCCCAAAGAAACCTCCGTGTTCTGATTTCATGTGGAGGTGGTATCCGTCTATCTTTCACCCACAAAGAATTTGATTCCCGACCAAGTTACAACAAGCAGTATTTCAAATCTCACATCTAACTTCAGTTGGCTCCCTTCCTATATTCCCTTCCCTCCCTCCCATGCTCGTCTGCAGCCCTGTCTGGATTTATGCCTCTCCTGGGTTGCTCCCTGTGAATCTCCTCTCTCTGTCTCATTTGCTTCCCCAGGGTGGGCCCACGTTGTCTGTGCTTTGTACATCCCAGAGGTGCAGTTTGCCAACGTGCTCACCATGGAGCCAATCGTCCTGCAGTATGTGCCCCATGACCGCTTCAACAAGGTAAGGCCACCTCCCTCTCCTGCTGCCCCAAGTGTGTTTGCCCTCCCTTAGCTTTTTGGGGTCATCTTATTCTACCGCATCTGTGCAATTCATCCTAATTTCCAGGTACTCAGATCCCTTCCAGAATAACAAAGTCAATCTCCATTGTTGAAAATAACTCTTGGGTCCTCCATTTCTCTCTCCCCCATCTCCCTACAACTTGAGCCATCTCCACTTTGGAGTTGGATGTTGCTCACTGCATCTTTTGATCTGGCACCGGTGTTACTGGGGGAGGAAAAGAGGTTTTGTGCCTGCCATTGGGAAATAACCCAGAGCTGCTGTCCTGGGAGGGAGATGAGTGGACACAGTTGGGAGTTCTTGAAGGCTTTGCCTCCTGGACAGAGCCATGGGTGCCATGGTTTAGTGTGAGGTGTCCCAGCCCATGGCAGAGGGTTGGAACTGGATGATCTGAAGCTCCTTTCCAACCCGAGATTCTATGACCAGCAAGAGCGAAGCACGGATTTCATCTGCCTAAATGAGGCCTTTCCCTTTCCTCTGCAGACCTGCTACATCTGTGAAGAGCAGGGCAGGGAGAGCAAAGCAGCCTCTGGTGCCTGCATGGCCTGTAACCGGCACGGCTGCCGGCAAGCTTTCCACGTCACCTGGTGAGTTGCCCACAGTGGCCACGCTGCGCATGGAGCTGGGTTGATGCTGTTGGGTGTATTTGGTGCGGGGGGTACCTCACCCGTGATGAGTTTAGGAGGGGAAGGCAGAGGGTTCAGCAGTGAGAACGAAGGCTGGGGATTTCCCTCAGCCCATGTGGAGTCCAAGAAGAGAAGAGATGAGTCACAAGGCAGGAATGTTCCTTCGGCAGCACAGCACATGCACAAGTATCATTCAGATGATGTGATTTCAAGGGTTGATATTTCCCTGTGCCCTTGCAGCCTGGAAACAACGCTGCCTCTCAGCAGAGCAGGGGGATTCCTTTACACGGATTCCTTCTTTTCCTCCATCTTTTGCTGGAATTGAGACTGGTTTCCCAGGCTTGCCTTAAGCAAAGCAGAAACTGCAAGATAAATCTGGTAGAAAAGCAGTGACACGTTTGAAGATGTTAATGTGAATTAAAACTAATCTGAACTTTTCCCCCCTTCCTCCTTGCATACCATTCGCCAAGCAGAACAGGAAACTTCAAGACCCTGCCTGGCTATCCTGAACTGCTCTTTGCCCTTTGATGGGATCTATGGTTTGACTGTATAATTTGCTCCGTTCTTCCCCTGCTCTCATGTATTTCAGTGCCCAGATGGCTGGCCTCTTATGTGAGGAGGAGGTCCTAGAAGTCGACAATGTCAAATACTGTGGCTACTGCAAGTACCACTTCAATAAAATGGTGAGTGTCTTCATGCCTGCCATGGAGATTTTGTCACATGAAAGGCATTCTCTTCATCCTAGATTGTATCTCTACTCGGAGCAGTAAGAAACCCCAAGAACACATAAGCAAGGTCTGCATCCTGTTTCCCTTTTCAGCCATTCAATAAAGATTAGTTTATATTGCACATTTCTATAGCAGCTTTAAACTAGGTGTTGAACCCTTCCCATCTGTTTTGGCCACCTTGACCCACTCTGTATGGCCGAAAGATAAGGCCCAAGAAAGGAGAGCAGCCGCAATGTTTGATGCTCCAGGGCAGGAGGGTAACACAGAGCTCCTGCCTGAGGACACAGCCCAGAAGAGACGTGGAGTCATTCACTATTGGAGGGTTATTTGGGGCAAAGGACTTCCCCCTATTAGTAGACACCTGCTCTCCCTGCTCCAGCAGAAAGGAAACTCGATGCTCTCACTACAGCTTTATGTCTCAGTGCTGCCTTTGTCGCTGGACTTTCCCACTTCTCCTTCCTGCTTATCAGTGCTGTCACATCCAGTGACTGATGTCTGGAGCTTCCCCTGCAAGTCAAACTGGAGGACACCATTCCTGCCCTTCAGGTCTCCTCAGGATCTGACACAAGTGTAGCTCTGTATCAGGTTTACTGATGCTGAGATAGATAGCAGGACTTCTGCTAGAGCAGGGCATCCTTCTGCACCCCTCATTGACTGAGAGCTGGACACTGCTGTTCGGGAGGGCTGGCTTGTCTAAGCAGCATTGCTGCTTCCGTTGAGTTTGAAGAATGGGTTCTTATCAGCTGTGCCTTTCTTGTACAAGTGTGAGTGTGTGTGGGCCACCAAGAAACAAAGACTGGGGGAGTTAGATCTATGTGCTGTTTGTAGCCCACTAATATGGTGTTTGTTGGGGTCCCCATGCTGGGCTGGGCACTCAGTACAGAAAGACCTTGGTCCTGCATGTCGTACATAAGCCATTCACTGTACCAGTGAAAGCTGGACTGTGTAACACTCTTTCCTCCCTCTCTTTCTCTGTTTTCCCCCTTTCCCCATCTCCACCTCCTGTCCCCTTGCCCGCTTACCTCAGAAGACCTCACGTCACTCTGGCGGTAGCTCCTTCATTGCTGGAAGGAGGAGTCGATCCGCATCCCCTGCTCAAGAGAAGCACGTATCCCACCACGAAAGGCCAAAGAAGGTAAGAGCCACACAGACTTTGTCAGTCCTGAGAGGCACATCCATGTGGGTTGAAGGGGAAAAGCATGCAGAGAGCACCGATGGCCTCTCAAGGTGAGCCTTGGCTCTTCCCAATGAGTCTCAGTGTCAGAGATGTGAGCTGCAGCTGTGATTCTAACATCTATGCACAGAGAGCAACACAGCGACGGGGAACGTGAGGCCAAGTTTCCATGTTCAGATTACACCAGAGGGGTCCTGGCAGAACGTGCCTGTGGAACGTGCAGCTTCCCCCTCTCTGTCCTTATGGCAAGTCCACTGTGAGACTGGAGTGCTTTCCAGCCACTGAATCGATCTGTGTGGAAGCAGCCTGGGCTGCGATTTCAAATGGAGCAGCTTGAGGACATAAACTGGAGGCTGTTGGCCTCAGAGCTTGGATTCCAAGTTTTAAAGGGCAAAAAGGCAGTGATTAGTAATGTGCGTTGTGGCCAGGAGGTTAATTGTAGGCAAGAGCAATTAGCATGAGGTAGGTAGGACTTTGTTAGCTGGATTAACCAGCCACACGCATGCCAGCTGCTTCAAGCCTCCCTGTGAAGATAGTTTATCTTCATTACACAACTGTTTAGGAGAACTTTGTATGCCAGGTCTGATGGGTACAACAGTTCCTGATCCAACCCTGCTGCTTAAGACCTACTCATCCAAAGTGCTGCCGTGTTCCGGGACGTGTTAACAGCGCACCAAGGTTCATCATTAACCAACTGCCTCACGTGACAAATGCTCCTGTTTCAAGGGAAAGCAGCAGGGAACGTGGAAGGCAGAATCCCAGGAGACTCCTGGGCTCTGACAGGGCTGCAGGTTCCAGTATGGAAGGGGATAATAGAATACAATAGCGAATATCATATAATAATGAGTAGCCCTAAAGGGCAGGCTGGATGGTTTTTGGAGGATGCAGGCTCTAAAGCAAGAGGCAGCAGAATAAGAAGTCTTTCCTACCCCTGGATGGATATGCAACTTTTGCAATATCAAGAATCCACAATTTGCCACCCCATCTATCCAAAGGATTAGGGTAGGATGTGATGCAGAAATAATTAGTACAGGGATACTATCAGTATGGATGGGTAGGGTTTAACACCTTATGGGCCACATCCTGGCTTTTTTTTTAGCTGGAATCCAGAATTCCTTTACCAAGCAACCCCTGGGTATGTCCCACTATAGCCAAAAGCCAAATTTACCTTATTGTATAAACATAATTGATGCCCCTGTAAACGGCAGCATGAGGCTTTTAAGCCTTGCCATATGTGGCTGGCTGTTTACTTCTTTACTTGGTTTTGCCTTGTGGCAATAGGGGCATCCTCAGAACGTGGAAGTGATTTGGAATGGTTCATGATAGTGACCCACATCCAGAAACAGCCCAGTGACACTCCTGTGGCTTCAGTTGCCTAAGTCGGATGGATCTCAGCCCAGTCTCCAGAGGTCAAGGGCATCCAGGCTTTCAAAAGCAGTCTGGCCATCAGTTAATACTGACTGGCATGCCCAGCTGAGAGGCCATAAAACCCTGTGGGCAGGAAAGACATCTCCTTCTTTATTTACAGAGGTTACCCCGCAATATCCAGTTTGAAACGCTGCCCACCCTGCCCGGGACGCGTTCGGGAAGCTTGCCCAAACCATACCTGCGACGTGGGCAAACAAGGCAGAAACCTCTGCTCCCAAAGTGCTGCCTCCCCTTGCTGCCCACAGCCAGCCAGTACATTTCCTGCTGCCGACAAGGCTGAAGCCTATGGGGAGTATTTACTCCTCTTGTGTGCTCAGCTGCTGCGAGCAGAGGAGGAGGAGGAGGGAGAGAGGGAGGGAGAAAGAGCATCTGTGCCACGGCCGGGGAGCGCGCGCTTGGCACAAGGTGATGGGCTGTACTGGAACGTCCTATTTTTAGCCAAGAAGCAGGCAGAGAAGGGTGGGAGAGAGGGCAGGATCGGGGTGATTGATGGCAGCTTTGGAGAGCTCGGCTGTAATTAGAACTGACAGACTGTGCAAGTCAAGGCTGGGGACCGTGTGGGGGTTCCTTGTGCTTGCAGGGCTGGGAGCACGGTCAGGTAGGAGTAGGGGTGTGAATATCCTGCTCCCCAGCTTCGGTTGGAAAGCAGGTCAGCACTAGGGGGAGAGTGAAAACAGGAGGAATATGGATTTATTTATAGGCTTCTCAGTGGTGCTTGCCACTATTGTTAGCCTGTGGGATCCTCAGGAACATGCAGAGGCTCTGTCTCGCTGCTGCCTCATCAACTCTCCTCTTCCTGATGGCTCATTGGGTTTGTGAGCAGCAGATCCGATGGAGGCCCCTTCCAGGGCTGGGATTGCTTGGCTTTTCCAAGCCCTTCCACTTAGAGAGGTGGGGAGTCAGCAGGGAATGGGGGGCCGAGGCGATGGGCAGGGTGAGGGAAGGCGGCATTGGGTTGTGAAGTGCAGGGAGGAAGGGCTGGGTGTGAGGCAGTGTGAGAACGGAGCCCTTCCAAAGGGGTCCCGAGCTGTTCCTTCCCACATGCAGTACGTGACTCGCAGTGCATGATCTAACCCACACGTGCTGCAAGGGAACTGGGCGTGCTGCTGCACTGACCCCAAGGGGAACAGCTTCTCCTTGAGCCTGTCCAGCTGTGCAGCAGCTGGTCCCTTCCTCCCGGGGCCGGAGGCTCAGCACACAGCACCGAACCCTGTGCTGCAGGTGCTCCTGGCTCTCGGCTCCAGAAGGAGCTCAGTGCCTGGCATCCCCTTTCCAGAGCAGGGCTGGGGCTGTATGGAACAAAATGAGATTGGATCTAAGGAGGAAATTCTTTCCTGTGAGGGTGGTGAGGCACTGGAATGGGTTGCCCAGGGAGGTTGTGAATGCTCCATCCCTGGCCAGGTCGGACAGAGCCTTGGTTGCCATGGTTTAGTGTGAGGTGTCCCTGCCCATGGCAGGGGGTTGGAACTTGATAATCTTAAGGTCCTTTCCAACCCAAACCATTCTATGATCTATGAAACTGAGTGAATGGCTAAGTTGAAGGGTGCAGGATTTAACCCAATGGTTCCAGTAAGGCAGCAAAGACTTGGCATTTGCACTCCTAAGCCCTGCTGTAAAACAGTTCAGTGTTTGTGAAGAGTCTTGTTCTGTGAGGAACAAGGGACAATTGTGATGTGGGGCTGGAAGCCAGCGTCAGCAGCACGAATGATAACCAGCCCAAGCGTTTCCTTCTGGGCTGTCCTGAAAATGGGAAAGCTCCAGGCTTTGGGTTTTCCTCTGCACATACCAGGCCTTAGCAAAACCAGCTCCGTTGATGTCTCTGGGGTTGGTATTGCGATGTGTGTGCTCTACCCTGTAGGAGCTTTGTTTGCTTAGAAAAGAAGAAAGAGAGAAGGGAAACAATAGCTAAATACCAAGAAAAGGCCGGATGACGCACAGGGGTTGAATGAAGTACAGATGTTCTGTCACCTATATTGTCTGCTTGAAATGCATAGGGGAAAATCACCACGCTCCGTGGAATGAAACTGGCCCCATGAGGAGCAGATGGGAGTATGTGTGCTGCAATGGTTTCAGGTGGATACCCTATGGAGGGAGACACTCGTTCAGTGTTACTCTTCATGAACAACTGGGACCTATAAGCAAATTGGGAGTGGGGGGCTTCAGTTTGGATTTGGAGGAGGAGAGGAACAGTGAGTGCCCAGTGACACAGTAAGGACAGGCAGGCACTTGGAGCAAATAAGCCAAACCTGCACTTGCTCCTTAGGGAAGGTACAGAGCCAGTTCTCAACAGTCATAACACACCTTTAGCTCCTGAACTGCTTCCCTAGCCATGGAAGGGATGGCTTTATTGGGATAGAGGGACTGTGTCTGTCCTGTTCCCTCTCATCCCTTCAGAACCAGCCAGCACAGCACAGGAGCCCCGGTCCCATGGTGGCTGAGCAGATAGTGCAGAGCCTGCCTGCCCACCATGTCCTATCTGTCTTGACCTCATGCCAATGGAGGAAGTGAGCCAAGGATCCAGCCTGGCAGCTTTAACACACTGGAGAAGTTGTACTGGGCTGGAGTCTAAACCCCCTGGGTCTGCGAGGGGCTTTGTGTTTGCATTTGGGTTGGAGATGGAGGTTTCCTTCTTGGGGTTTCACATCTAAGCAGCACCAAAGGGCAAAGGGGGGCATTTTTATCAAGTGGGATGCAGGTGGCTGCTTGCATGGAGTTTTCAGGGAGAGAAGCCTTGTTTCATAGCATCCTTAAGCACCTTTCTGTGCCCTCTCGTTATGTGGGTCTCCAACCACCCCCAGCAAATCCTTCCATTAGCAGGGACAGCAGCAATTTGCGAGCACACAAAGCCCAGTGAAGGCTGTCTGTCTGTGTCTGTCTGTCTGTCTACCCCTCTCTCGCACTCGGAGGGTGTCTCAACCAGCACCCAGTGCAGGAAAGCGTTGAGTGCCCCTGTGCCTGATGCTTGCTTCCTCCTCGCTGCCGCTGCCATGGCTGCAGCCCAGAGCCGGCCTCCTCCTCCTCCTCCGGGTGAGGGAGTTCAGACAGCCTGGGAAAGAGGGAGGGAGCAGCAGAGCCCACTTGGCTCTTTGCAGCTCCCGGCTCTTCCCTCTCCTGCTTCCCCTCCATCTCCTTGTCAGCATCCAATTGCGGGTGTCCGGTAGATCGGAGGCTCGGGGAAGGGGAGCGGCGGGAGCGCTGCACATCCCCTTTTGGCAGCCGCAGCGCCCGTTTGGTCCCTCCTGCTCCGGGGAGCTCCGGGGGATGCTGTGTCTGCGGCACGCCCCCCCCCCTTCGCTGCATGCCTGCCCTGCTCCGTGCCCGCATGCCAAGCCCCGGCTGCTCAGCGCTGCATGGGGAGCGGTTGTGCTGCTCCGTGCCGCTGGGTGCCGGGGCCAGGTTCACGTTGCCTGCGGAGCGCAGCGAGCACGGAGCAAGGTAGGGCTTGGCTTTGGCTTGCGAGGACGGGATGGGGGTGTTGGAGGGTTTTCTGCTCTCACTGCATCCCCCTTCTCCTTCCTCATGGCAACAGCCACGCAGGTCCCTGCTGTTGGCAGCGGCTGTGTTGGTGGTGAAGTTGCCTGGAGGAGGGAGGGTTTGCAGAGCGCCTGTGAGCCGGGAGATGGAAGGGCTGGATGGGGAAGAGCCAGGTAGGGAGGGGACGGGACGGTTCGAGTGCTGCTTTAGTGCCCTTGTGGCTCTTGCAGGAAGCATTTGGAGCCTTCCGTTTCCTGGGGAGAACCCGCACGTTTCAAAACCTCTGGTGCGAGCTGGGGGATGCCCTAGGTTGTCTGGGGAGCTGTCGACACAGGCAGGAGAGCATCTGAGCATCCGGTGGTCCCTGCAGTGTGACCTTCCCACCAGCGCCGTGGGCTGGGGGCAGCCCAGCTCCTCTGCAAAGTGCCTGTGGGGTACCAGGACTGGTTGTCCTGTTTAACACAGGGCACTGCCTTTGACTGCTGATTATGGACCAAGATGTCAGGTCCTGACACCTGAGTACCCAAAAGCATTAGAGAGTCACTGGAGGGTGGGAGATGCGTGCTGCTTGAGTGGGCAAAGGCAGAGGATGCTCAGACTGTGCAGAGCTTAAGGATTATAGCTCAGAATGATCCAGAGTGGCTGGTGCTGGGGGTTTCTGCTCTGACCAAGCAGAGAGCCTGCAGAAGATGTGGTGGTGTGGGAAAGAAGTGCTTGGTAAGCAGAACAAGAGGAGGAAGGTGTGCCTGTGGGCATGGCCCGGGGCTGCGTGCAGGGACATGGAGCAGAAGTACATTGAGTCTGCGGTGGTTCTGGTTTCAATGCAGCCCTTTGAGCAGAGCGCGAAGCCTGGTCTCTGTGGGCCAGATTTTCTAAATAGCTTGAGTGCAGTTGCTCAGCACATGGAGTCGGGGCCAGATCTTCAAAAGAACTCAATAGCCAGCAGTTGGCTTTTGGGAAAACCTGACCATTTATTCAGGCATCTAAATGGGAGCTGAGGCATTCCAGCAATCTGGTCCCTGTTGTGCAGGCTGGGCTCTTGCTGAATGTGTGCATATGTACACAGTCCTACATGGAAGCAGAGGGCTGCTCAGTTTGCTGTGGCCTCTGCTCTGCTGACAGCAAAGGGAGAGATGGTTCAGGACACAGGACACAGGACACAGGCAGGACTGTGAAGCCGGAGGATGCGAGTTTGGTGGTTGCCATCGCAGTGAAGTTATGGGAGGTTTTATGGTTTGCTGTGCTAACAGGCAGGACATCGCAGCCTGTGCACGTGTGTCTCTGTGTGTAGGTTCGTTGCAGTTAGCCAAAACGGCTTGGCTCTGCCTTGTGTCATCTTGACCATGATATGTGAATTTAAACCATCACACTGCTGTCCTGCTGCTGTTTGCCGCTTCGTGACTGAAGTGCATTTGGGATTCGGGGCCTGGAAAGGAGAGAATAAGCTCTGTGATGCTCAGAAAGCTTAAGGATTGGGGTTTGTGCACTTGTTTGGCAAAATGTATTGCAATGGGGCTCCTGTTTTCCATCTCTGGCTTCCATGAGTGGCGCTGGCAGCATCTCCAAGTAGGTGAGCGTGTATCCAGGTGGGATGGGGATCCCTGGTGTTCCTGTCTGAGTGTATGGATGACTTTCAGGGAAGTATCATCAAGTTGCTCCATCCCGGGTTTCCCCATTTGTAAAATGAGATGTAGACATTAAAAACCTCTTTTTCAGGCCCTTGGAACTCTCTCTGCTGTGTGCTATTGAGTGCAAATTGCTACTACTGCTGGAATAATGAACACTGATCTGCACATGGTCTGTGCTTAACTTAGCTGCTTAACTAACTGGGCTGGTTTCCCCATCCTTCTGTCCTAGAAGGCCCACGAGACACGGAGTTTATAGCACGAGAAGCCCCAAAGTATTTAAACCATGATGAGATTTAGTGAAGATTTAATTTTCATCTGTCTTTCGGCACTTAGGCTGCAGGAATGGCGTTTTCAGGCTTTCCATGTTCACTGCCAAAGCTGGAAATATGCATTCAAGAAAGGGGGTGGAAGAAAACAGGGATTCATGTAAAATGCCATAGCTCTAACAGAGGCTTTCACAGATCCGCTGAATGCCAGGAGTCTGGTGATGATGGATACTGGCAGCGTTGGTTGGGCACTCAGCAAGTGCACTGAAGCTCGAGGCTGCGTTGGCCTCCTTTTTCCATCAGCTCATCCCAGGGAAAGCTTCCCTGGTGCTTTCCCTGCCTGGTGGCTGCAGCATGGGCTTCCTTTCAAGGGGAATGAAACCTCAGCCAAATTCACACTGGAAGGTGCTGATTTCTGGAGCTCTTTTGCTTCACTTCATGCCTGCTTCCTCCCACTCTGTCCTTCCTCCTGTCCCTTTCTTCCCCCATGGAGAGTACTGTTTCCTAAGCTGATCATCCCACTCTCTTCTCCCCAGAACCACGCAGTGGAGCTCATGTATTCGCTGCAATTGCATCTTCCCCTGACAGCATCCCAACTTTGGCATGTGCTGGCGGCTGTAGCCTCGGGGCTTTGCCTGCATGAGGAAGCAGTCAGCATCTTTCTGAGAGCCTTTCTGTGATATGACTGCACTGTTCTGAATGCAACTGAGCACTTCAGCTCCTAGAAGAAAAGGCCCATGCAAGGGGGTTGTGCCAGAACAGGCACAGAAAGGTCTCAGACAGGAGGATGCTCCTGCATCTGACAGCAGCTCTCTTGGTCCACACACCAGTGACCACACTGGGAGGTTTGGAACTGAGCACAGAAGGTTCTGTACCTTCAGCACATCTTTAGCTGGTATCAGTAGCACGAAAAGCTCCTGTAGTCAACTCAGTGTGTTCCCATGGGAGCATACAGCTAGGAAAGCAGGGAGGAAGCAGGAGTATGGAGCATGCTGTTCTAGGCATCCATCCTCAAGCCCCACTGGCTTGAGGTGACACAGCCTTTCTTCAGGCCTTTCACTGAGAACATCCAGCTAAACCTAAGAGTATTCTCCTTGGTTACAGTACGTTCCCCAGGAGAATATAACATCAGGGCAGGCAGGACTTGGTGCTTCCCAGGCCATGATTTCCCCTTGGTTTTCTGTTTGAAGAATCCCACGGCTCTGGGATTTTAGTGAGATTAAAAACCAGAATGAAGAGCTCAAATGGAATAGACTGGCTCCTGTGAGCAGAGATGGACCCGGACCAGCTGCCTCTGTTGGGAGGGCAGACGTGAGGGATCTCTCTCTAGGTGAAGCCTCCGTTGTGAGATCCCCACTGCCTGATCTCTTTACCTGTGCACACACAATATGGGCTGAAATCAAGCTTCTCCTGTTGGCTGCACAGGGTGGATCCAGGAAAGCCTTGAAGAAGTTGGAGCTGTTCAGCCTGGAGAAGAGAAGCTGCGTGGAGACCTCAGAGCAGCTTCCAGTGTCTGAAGGGGGCCTATAGGGATGCTGGGGATGGACTCTTCATTAGGGACTGTAGTGATAGGACAAGGGGTGACGGGTTAAAACTGAAACAGGGGAAGTTTAGATTGGATCTAAGGAGGAAATTCTTTCCTGTGAGGGTGCTGAGGCACTGGAATGGGTTGCCCAGGGAGGTTGTGAATGCTCCATCCCTGGAGGTGCTCAAGGCCAGGTTGGACGAGACCTTGGGTGAGATGGTTTAGTGTGAGGTGTCCCTGCCCATGGCAGGGGGTTGGAACTGGATGATCTTAAGGTCCTTTCCAACCCAAACCGTTCTATGATTCTATGGTTCTAAGGTAGAGAGTGAGGGTAAGGGGGACAGAGTCCCGCTGGGGGGAAAGCAAGAGGAAAGCTCAAGTTTCTTGGAATCAGCCAGAGCTTGTTAAGTCCTTCCCTATCATCTTACCATAAACTGATGTGGGGGCTTCTGCTGTTACTGTGCGCTCCAGATGTTGGCTGCAGCTGGGGTAGAGCTAGTGGGATGCTCCCAGCCAGAAGAAGCTGGGATGTGGCGGGGGAGGGATACTGGGCTCATGTGGATGGGTGGAGAAGGAAAGAGGGAGATGAATGTATGGTTGTAAATCCACACCTACAAACCCTCCTTTCTTTCGCCTCACAACTGCTGTTCTCAGCAGAGGAAAGGTTTGTACTTCCAGCGCTCTCTGGTTTCTTTTGCAGAGTCGGAAGGACAAAGAAAGACCTAAACAGAAGCACAAAAAACGTCCGGAGTCTCCCACCAGCCTTACCCCATCCTTGGTGCCCGTTGCTGCAGAGAAGGTACCAAACCTGCAGGATGTGAGTGTGGGGACCGAGGGCAGGGGGAAACCATTGGTGCTAAGTGGGGAGGGCAGAGCAAGGGGCTTGTCCCTATGGTTTGATTCCTGATTCGTCACATCCTCACTCCCTGCCTCGGGAATTGAACGTGGCAAATGGCTTGATCCCTGTTAGCGCTGAGGATGCGGTCGTGGAGCTGAGCTCCCAAGTGATGGAGCTGTAAGTGCCAGCCTGTTCTGCAGCAGATGTTCCGATTGGAAGCTCTCATGGAAAGAGCTCAATATCCATGCTTTGGCCTCGGCTGCTGCCACATTGTGAGCAGCTCAGGCAGGTGGATAAGCAAGGCAAAGCTTATGGGAGGAGGTGTTATCCTCTATTAGACAAACTGATGGAGCTGAAGGGAAAAAACCCAGACCATCTTAGAAGTACAGATCTCCAAAGGGCATTGCAGAGGTGGCTTTTCTATGCAAGACATTGAGGCGGGTGATTTCTGTTTAGATCCCTCATTTCAGGAGCATTCAGGCAGAGGGCCACACGGAGGTGGCCTGGGTTGCTCCTGAGGTGTAGAGGCAGGGAAGATGCTGCACGTGTGGGTTTGTCTCCTCAGTACCCGGGGCTGATGGGACACAGGATGTCAATGTGTTTCTGTATTCACATCATGCTGCTGGACATGGGCTTTTGCTGGCTGTAAAACAGGCAAACCCATGAGCCCTGAGCTCCCAGTAATGCAGAACAGACACAGCTGAGTATGCAGCAAGGTGAAGGCCAAGTCTGTGGTTGTTCAGGGTCAGGGAACAAGCGAGGTTACTCCAGCACCTGGACCTTTGGAGTTGGCCTCTCCTGTGTGTAGTGGGAATGTAAATGAATGCAGCTCCTTAGCAGGGCTGTTCTGGTACAAGCGAGAGTAGGACCAGGGCCAAGCTCCTGCTACAGCAAATAAACAGCGTGTCCTAGGAGTGTCCTTTTGTGCACAGAAACGCTCCTTGGGAAGGCTTGGGTGTCCTTTATGTGGCTGGACTGCCCTGTGGGGATGAGGATTCAGGCTAGTGGGGTCTGCCTATGTGAGAAGCACTGCAGGGGCAGTCTGGAAGGGAGAAAGCTCCTGCCAGTCAGCACAGGGTCGCTTTGGGTTAGGGCTGAGGAGGATTTGCTGTGTTCTGGTTGGGGGGGCCAATGTAGGTCAGGGCTGAAAGGCAAAGCTGCTCTCGTGGTTCTCAGGCTGGGAGAGGCAGGAAGGTAGAGCAGGACAGAGCAGAGGAAGAGCTGCCATCACTGGTGATGTACCCGTGCTCATGTTCAGCTCCGCTGTGCCTTTCGGACACCGCAGATTCACCCCGTTACCGGAGCTGCCAGGAGCTGATGGCCTAAGGAGATTACTTTCAAGCTGAACTGAAACCCAAGCCCTGACTCCTGGCCAGCTCCAGCGGCTGGGAGACAATTGCCCACTGTCTCCCCCAGGGCCCGGCCAGGCCTTTATCAATGAGGAGGAAAGGTGCAATTCAGTTTTACAGGCGGCTTTCAACTCTTTGTAAGCTGAAATTCAAGAGATCCTGATTACCATAGCCCTGCTTGAGCGACAGGGTTTTAGTGTTGCCCTAGGGAGTTACTATTAATCCTCATAACACTGAGCGTATTTCCCTTGCCTTTCTTTGGTGCTTAGATCCCAAAATCCTGTTCCAGCTCTGTTACCAAAGGTACTGCAGATGGAATTAAAGAGCTGCTCGGGAGCCTGCTCCAACCCTGCACAAACCCCTCCGAGGGTGGTTGTAGGAGGCTTTCTGCATAGTTGCACTGGTCTTTTGCCCCACTGATGTAGCACATCCAAATAGGTTTCCTCTTGGAAGCCAAAACTCCCTTGGACCTTTCTGGGTGGTAGATTAGTGCATCTCATCGCAGTAGAGTGTACTACAAACCAAAAGCTGATGTGCATGGTGTGACCGTGCAGAAGAGCATTGCTAGTCCCTGCTGTGCCATGGTTAGAGCCTGGAAAGAGCTGGGGTCTTTTCCTGTCCTTACCACTTGCATGATCTTGGGTAAGTTATTTATCACCTCCATGGTCTTCTCCAAGCTCCCAGTGAACCAGAGCCCAAACTCCCCATGGATAACCCCTGTAGGTGATGCAGCACCCCATCTTTCATGGGGAGCAGGTGGATGAGAGCACGTCTTAACATCATGCAGCAGCAAGGGCAGATGCTCATGTCCAGGCTCCTGGGAGCAGGACACTGGCCCAGTGAGCAGAGCCATGGGAGGCTGGTGCAGCCCTTGATGTCCACACCAGACCCATGCTGCCAGCACTTTGTGATGCTCACGCTGTAGCCAGAGGAGCACCACACAGAGTGAGGCTTCTGTCCTGGTGCACAGGTTGGACTGGTGGCACTGAGCATCATTGGTGTTCTGGAGCCAGCAATGAGGTAATCAGCAGATTCAGGCCTTGGTACTGTTTGCTCCTTGGGCATCAGGACTGTAATGTGGTCAGAGGTGTGACTGGTGCCTGAAGGCACACTCCAGGCTTCTCCCAGTTCACTTAGCCTAGAAGGAGCCTGCAGCAACGGGCATCTGAGCCCCAGCATCTGATGTTGCTACCAAAGCCCTCTGAAACTGTCAGCAACCCTTTAATAACGCGTTTTCAGAGCTATACTCCTGTGTAGCAGGACTCTTCCAGCTACTCCAGCAGGCGAGGCTGACAGCAGCAGCACTATGGCATTGCTATGGAGGAGCCATGGCATATTCCCCTGCCTTGTTGCCTCCGGCAGCCTGGCTTCCACGTTCACATTTTGCTTTAGTTTTGCAATCCAGATTTCTCTTTCAGGTCCAGTTTTCACCTCATCCATCGCCCACCCCCTGCTCCCCTCTTGAACCATTCAGTTCCGAAGATCCTTTGATGTGGTTTCCAGTCTTCCTCTCGCAATCAATAGCGGTAGACCTCTGGCTCTGCCAGGGTTTTGAGCATCTCCCTGAGTGCTTCCCGGTGGCTTCTAGGGATCTAAATACCATCAATACCTGATGCTGGGGCTCTCCCCGGCCTCCGTGTCCTGTCAGTGCAGGGACAAGCTCTCAGTGCCTCTGAGGTTTGGCAGATCAACATCCTGAGCACACGGTGTGGCCTCAGCTCTCGTCTGCACCGGAAAGTGAAACCAGGGTGTGAATTCACAGCATGCAAATGCCTCTTCCTACCAGCTCCTTTCAGCTCGCCTCCTGCCTCTGCAGTGTGGATCTGGGGGATGAGATGTTCATCGCCCTCCCAGAGGGGCAGGAGACCTTGGTGGTGGGGCACAGAGCATCCCTTTTGGAGGGCACACAGAGCTGGGAGCTGGAAATCGCCCAGTGGGGGATTTGGAGAGTGGGTTTGTGCTGGGGAGAGGCTCTCTTTCACTGGCACATTGGCTGCTTGGAGCTCACACAGACTGGGGAGTGGGAGGGAAGCAGAGAACATCCCCTCTGGGTAAGAGTTTCTGCCTGTTTTCACGTGGTCCATCCAGAAGTGGTGCCAAAAAGGATGCTTCTGAGCAGCCTGTTGGGAAGATGGCATCTGTGGATGGGGACTGGGGCAGAGGAGGGTTTCTCACCACGGCAGGAGCAATGAGCATCACCAATAAGCATTGGCAGCCAGCGCTGCTCTAGTTCTATAGTCACTGCCAGCACCAAGAGGCAGTTTCTGTGCTTAGGATCTCTCCATGGAGCTGGTGCCTGGTGCTGGGATGGGTTTGCAAGCAGCAGCACAGCAAACCTGTCCCTTCCCTTCCACTGCAAGCATCCCTGGGGAGCCATCCTGCTGCTCCCTGGTGCAGTAAATCTGCACTATTGCAACCCCCCCATCTGCCTCCTCCTGCCAGCTGCAGGCATCAGGAGCTCTTGTTGACACACTCACACATGCCCTGTTTTGGGCTGCAACATCTGGCTCGCTCTGGGTTCTGTAAGCTAAGCTGGGGATGCCTAGGCCTCTCTCCGCATCCATCCTCTTCTCCAGTCGGGTGCTGGAGGATGAACAGCTCCTGATTGCAGACACCATGGAAAGCAGGGAGGCTTTCCAGGTTTTCCACTGTTACTTGAGCTCTTGGTGGCTTCCCAAAGCGGGCCTGGAGCTGACAGATCCTGGGGATCTGCACTGCGCCTGGCTCAGGCAAAGGCCCAGGCACAGTGATGGGGTAGGAGGTTGTGTGTGTGGGGGGGTGATGATTATTCCTGCTAATCACAGCATGTCTCAGCATGGATATTTACCATAAGAATTCCTTTAGCATCCCTTGTCCTGACATGAGTGGGACGTCAGGGTCTTAAAAATAAGGTCTTCATACAATCCCAGCCTGGTTTGGGTTGGAAGGGACCTTAAAGCTCCTCCAGCTCCAACCCCTACCACAGGCAGGGACCCCTTCCACTGGAGCAGCTTGCTCCAAGCCCCTGTGTCCAACCTGGCCTTGAGCACTGCCAGGGATGGGGCAGCCACAGCTTCTCTGGGCACCCTGTGCCAGCGCCTCAGCACCCTCACAGGGAAGAGCTTCTGCCTAAGAGCTCAGCTCAGTCTCCCCTGGGGCAGGTTCAAGCCATTCCCCTTGTCCTATCACCACATTGCCTTGTCAGAAGTCCCTCAACCCATCTGTGTCTCCTATTTCCCCCTACAAACAGCAGCAGAGTGCTGCCTGATCTTGAGATGGAGGGAAGGGACGTGGTAAATACCGTGAGCGGCTCAGACACAGAGGAGCTGCGAGATGCTGATGGAGACTCATCTGATCTAGCGATCCGGTGTGGAAAGGCAGCTGATGCTTACCCTGCTGCATGGCTGCTTCTGCTCATCACCCTGCAGAGCCCTTGCTCTCCTCGCATTGTTCCTCCTTGGCATCCTCCCTGCTTCCCCTGCCAGTAGTTTAATCCAGGTCAAAGCCGCTCTGCGCGGCACCAGCCTCCCCCTTTTCCTTCTGGATCCTCTCAGTGGTTCCCTCTCGGAGCTCGTCCCTCCAATCAGGAGGCAAAGAGATGCTCTTCTCATTCCCCATCCATAAATTCATGAATGAAGAGCCTGGGGGCTGCACAGTGTCCCAGGGAGGCCAGGGAGGAGGTACAGCCCCTCGGGGGACAGGAGGTACGTGCATCCCGACGCGCCTTCATCTCACTGCGGGCTCCTGGGTTGAGGCAGGAGTTTCCCCATCAGGCTGGCACCTCCAGCTGGTTTATGCTGGTGACATTTTCCACTTGGTTGCTTTAAATAAACCTTCAAAACGGAGCTCCTGGCTCGTTTTGAAAGAGAGCTCTCACTTCCTCAGCGCTTCCCTGCTTTCCCCCCCCCACCAACCTCTGCATCATGTCATCCCCCCCCTCCCAGCCTGTTTGCAGCACATGAAACAACGGTGTTTCTGCACACACACGGATTTCCATGCTGGAGGATAGCCGATAATCCAGGGATTGAGACCTGTGGTTGTGCCCGAGGCATGCAGGTTGCTCCATCCCTTCATCAGGAAGGCGATGGGACTGCAGCCCTCAGCACTGTTATTACCATTGGCGTGATGATAGCAGAGCCCTCCCCTTCGGATCAAGGCTGTGTTGTGCTTGGCAGCCCATGTGTGTCTCCTGGAAGGCTCCAGTGCCACACAGAGCCCATGGGGCAAAGTGGGGAAGGAACAGAGGCACAGAGAGGGGAAGTGATTTAGCACAGCTCCAGTTTCCCCCTCTTTGCTCCTCAGCTGCATTGCTTGGGTCCTTGCCCCAAATCCAGGCTCTCTGGAACGGCTGCTTAGAGAAGGGCCCTTGGTGGGGAGGAGGGTGGGAGTTCCCAGGTGGATTTGCTTGGCAAACACTAGGGGAGCATTTGGCAGGAGGTGGGGGAATCCTGCCCCTGTCATCCCTGGGAGGCTCTGAGGTGGGATCAGCCCTGCAGGTGAGTGCCTGTCCCTTGGCCACCTGCGGCTGCCTCTTTTAGTTCCATCTGCCCTTTAGTTTCACAACTCAGTTTTATTCCCCTGCTCTGTTTTCCCCTTCCCACCCTGCCCTCATTCATTACCTGCCCTGCACTCCCTTCCTAACACCGGGGATTGAGAGCCTATCTTCTCATGTGGTTCCCCCCCTGCCCTCCTATTTCTGGATGCACCTCACCCCAGAGAGGTGAATTTATGGGAGGAAAACCCAAGGCTTTGCGTTTGTGCCATCTCCTTCCAAGAGCAGGCTCCAGGCTTCCCATACCCCCCCCACCACCAACCACTGCTCCCCTTTTCCTTCCCCAGGCAGATGTGGAAAGTCAGGAAGGTTTTCCCTGGGAGCTCATAAATCAGGGCAGTTTAATGCCCTGCATCCAGGAGTCTGTGATGAGAAAATACAGGATCCCCCCCCCACTAATTTCCACCACTCCCTTCCTCCTGTCTTTCATATTCCCAGCACATCTGGTGTGCGTTAGGCTGCCAGCTGTTGCATCGTGCGGAGTGATTAAACCATGTGGGAGGAATGGGGCAAGATTCTCATCTGGCCACTCAGGAGTCTGCATTAGGAGCCCTATTTTTTGCCTTGAGCTCTCCCCAAGAAGAGGTCATCTGGAGTCAGGGATAATGGGATGTGGGAAAGGGACCGGGCTTCCTCCTTCTATCTGCTCGGTAGGAAAGGAGTTGGTGCTGATGTACAGCTTGGAGCCATCCCATTAGGGCTCTGTCTATGCTATTGATTAGTTGCAGCCATACCTTGCAAGAAGTCATCTTTGAATGCTGCTGGTTTGGCTTTGAAGTGCCTTGAAGGTGAAGGTTTCATATCCCAGTGTGGGTGCCCTGGGGGATCTGGTTTTTGGTTCATTCCGCTCTCCCCCTCCTGAACTCCCACGCTCTCATCCCAAGCTCCTGGATTTCCTAGCATCTGGCCATCCCCCCCTTGCTTCCCTGCCTCCTGCAGGCTTAGATGGGGTTTGGAGAGCATCTGTTGCTGCATGGTCATAGTGTCCCTATGAAATCCTGCAGCAGGTCTTGGAAAGCCCTGGCTGGCCCCAGTGGATGCTTTAGGGAATCCAGGGGAACTCCTGTCGCAGCACAAAGACAAGTGAATTCCCCCGGTTGGAATGACCTTGATGAGAGCAGCACACCTGAGGGCTGCAGCTGAGATACATGCTTGAATCCCAGCCAAATTCAGGTTGGATGCGGGCTGAATAACCCTCTGAGGTACTCCCCTCTGCTGACAGTGCAGGGAATCTCTGATGTCTCTGCCCGGATCCTCAGTTCCCTGTTTCATTTCCTGCAGTTGGATGGGATGGGAAGCAGCAAGAGAGGGAAATGGGGCTTTTTTCTGCTGAGCATCACTTTGTGGGCAGAGGGGGCAATTACTTCTCTTAAGGGGCAATGGGTGGAAAGAGCCCCTGCCTTGGCCACATGTGGCCTGAGTGAGTGACCTTTGTGTTTGCTGCTGCCAGGGCTCTGCCAGCCACCATGAGGGGAGCAAAGAGGCCTCGGAGGTCGGGCGGTCGGAGGTGAAAGGCAGGAAGTCCTCAAGCCATGGAAGCAGCCACAAGGGGAAAAAGACTGGAAGTGGGAAAAGCTCGGTTGGCTTCAGCTCAGCTTCATCCAGCGGCACCTTCCAGCCTGCAGGTAAGGGATGAAGGAGAGGCAAGAGAGCAGGGGAGAATGGATGCTTTGCTTTGCCTCTCTTTGAGATGCACCAGCAAGTGCTCATGGCTGTTCCTTTAACCCCTGGAAGAGAAAGGGGACTCCATGAACAGAGGGAAGAGCCCGATGAGTGTTACAGCTCGCCTCCTGCACTGCAAGGGAAAACAGATCCAGATGTGTGAGCAGAGCAGAGGGAGGAGGGAAGGGATGCAGGCAATATGGGCAGCACCTGCCTTCTCCTCCCTAGGTGGTACTGTCTGCAGCAGTGTTTTAAGGAGTATTAGAGGAGAGATCTGAGCCAAACTCTGGTATCCAGGCTCCCCTGAGCTCCGAGTCAAAGCTATGACCCTGCTCTATCCTGAGCTATAATGGCCAATGTGTTTCATTCATCTCCTGGTACCCTAATGGGGCTGGAGGGATGGATGGAGCAGCAGACATGGGCATGTTTGGGTGGGGTGAGGATGCTGGTGTGCACCTCTTGTGTTTGCCAGAGAGCATCAAAGGTACGGGCTTGGAAGGGACAGGGATGGCTTTTGATACCCAGACTGTATTAGAGGAGTTGGACGGGGCTTGGAGCAACCTGGAGTAGTGCAGGGTATTGGAATTTAGCTTTAAGGCTGCTTCCAGCGCAAACATTCCATGGTGCTATGATTCCATGACCTGTGTTGTGATCGTGCTCCTCTTGCCAGCCTCCTGTTACTGCCATGAGCCTTCCTATCCCTGCTTCCTTCCCCCCTCAGGTACCTCCTGCAGCAGCTTGCAGTGCTCCCAGGACTTTGTGACGTTCCCCAAGCTCGAGCAGGACGACGAGAAGTACCGCAAGCCTGTCTCTTCCTCCTCTTCCTCCCACTGCTCCCCTCTGTATGAAGGCCAGAAGGGGGACATCTTTGAGCAGAAGGTCATCTTCTCCGGCTTTGGGTCCATCATGCGCTTCTCCACCTCGGCCGTGAGCCAGCAGAGAGGCCGGGATGCTTCCCCCGTGGACTATAAAGCCTCCAACACCATCAGTGGCCCTTCGGTGGGGAGCAGTGGGACCAGCAGCAGCAGCAGCAGCCACAAGCGCATGCCATCCCTCAGCATGGAGGAGGGAGAGGTGCTGAAGGAGAAGAAGCACAAAGGTAGCAAGAAGAACAAGCATGGGCCTGGCAGGCCAAAAGGGGGCAAAAGCAAAGAGATGTTGGGGGCCCAGCTGGCTGGGTCCACGTCGACGTCCTCATCGCCCTTCTCCGGGGGCTCTCTCATCAGCTCCAGCATCAGCAGCTCCTCCCGGCCCTTCAGCCACACGGGGAACCTGCCCAGCCTCAGCATGGAGTCCCCGCTGCTGGGCTCAGGTATGTTCCCCCTTAGGGCTCCAGGTGTGCAACGGCTCCTCCCTCCCTCCCCATCCCATGGAGCTGGTGTCTGGACCTGTCTGCACTGGGTCCGGTGCCTTTCATTCAGTCCCTGGAGCTGTTCTCCCATTTCCATGCTAGGATCAGCCCTAGGTCAGCTTCCTTGTCCTTAGAGCTCCTTAGAGCATTTCAATCCCTTTTTGCTGGAGAACCCCAGCAAGAGCTGGATTTCCAAAGGGATGGGGTGGGACATCCACAGCCCGAACCAGAACAACCACAGCCTGGCCCCAAATGAGGCTCTCTCATAAATCAAGTTTAACCCCTCTTTCTAAAAGCAAAACCTCCCATGCTGGTCTTAGCACATCCACACAGGGTTTTGGGAGACTGGGTCACCATTCACTCTGCTGAGAGGCTTACAGCCTGTTCTCCCTTCCCGAGCAGGGATGGGGCAGGCAGGATGTGTGGTAGGAAGGGGTTAAGGCAGCAGGCAGAGGAGGAGCCTGCTGCTCGGGGCTGAGGTTTGACACTGTTCTGGCAGCAGAACTTGTCATGGGTCTATTGTGGGTTGTTTGCAGATGTTCCAATTTAGGTCAGATTGCACGGGGGGGGTGTGGGTATGGGTTTGTTGTGTGCGCCTGGGAGCCCTGCCCTGTTCGTCTGCGAGGGGAGAGGAGCTGCAGGAATGGATGCAACTCCCATAATCATAACCTGGGGCCAATGGTTTTCTGCCTTCTCCCTGGAACAACAAAGGGATGTTTCAGAGAGGAGGCTGCTGCCAGGCCCTGCGCTCCTGCCTGCTTCTTCTCCCATTCTTGTGCTGCAGAGATGTTGGCAGGGCTCAGAAGGACCTGGCTTTGGGCCCCTGCTGCGTGTACGAGCCAAGGGGAAGTCAAACGGCTCCCATCCCTCAGCAGCAGCTCCCTCAGAGCCCTTTCTTCCTCATTTATCTGTCCTGCCCCACCGTGGTCCCTGGGCATCGGGTCAGCTCAACAAGAGTGTGGTCCTTTGGCTAGCACAGGCAGCAGAGTGGGACTCTGAGCCCATGACCCCCTCCTGCCTTTGGTGGGTCACTTTATGGTGTGATTTCTCTGTGTCAGGGGGCTGGAAAACACCTTGGATATCGATATTGGATATTGGATATACCTTTGGGTACCTTGGGATAGAAGCAACCACCTTCACTGCATCCCAAGCCATGGGATGCTCAAGCATCTTGTGCTTTGGTGCCACCCTCCCTTTCTGCCATGGAGCCCTGCAGACACCCAGCATGGCTCTCTAACCATGCCCTCCCCTTGCAGGGATCTACACCAGTAACAAGGACCCCATTTCCCACGGTGGCGGCGTGCTCCGTGCTGTGTGCAGCACCCCGCTCTCCTCCAGCCTCCTGGCACACCAGGGCACAGCATCCCTCCCGCAGCTCAACCGCTCGCCCTTTGCCAGCACCATCCCAGCTTCCTCCTCCTCAGTGTCCACCACGCAGGTAAGAACATGGGGAGAGCAGGATGGGGGCTGTAGGTTGGGCACACAGGGGCTGCTTGTCTCACTTGGGAGCAGTCACTGTGCCGACTGCAGCTTCCCATGGAGTGGGTGAAGGATGTAGGAGGTTTGGCATCACAGCCCACAGCCTCTTTGAGGGTGGGAGGAACTGCAACCTAAAAGGATGCCTTGCTTTCCACTGTTAGAGGAAGCACAGGCAGTGCCCAGATTGCAGAGGCTTGGCTATCCATGTGCTGTGTCCCCAGTGGATCATGCCGCTGATGCTCACCCCACAGCACAGATAACTCAGTGGGAGGGCTGGCACATCCCCACTGGGTGGGCTCTGCGTGTGCCAGGAGACAGAGCCTGGTCCTTTGTCGGGAGCTCTCTGTGGGAGGTGTTTTACAGGGAGGAGAGAGTTGGGTTTACAGCTTCAGTGTTAGCAGAGCTCATTCAGGCCTCTTGGCTCCGAGAAGGGCTTGGGAAGATTTCAAGTGTCTAGCAAGACTTCCAAGGAGGTATTTTTAACAGTGTCTCATGAGCAAGCTGGGATCAGAGTCAGGAGGAGATGGAATAATGAAGCTGTTTTCCTCCTGCCCCTTTGAGAAGTTATCCATCTCTGCCTCCTTGTTTTGCCATGTAGGTGTTCTCCCTGGCGGGTTCCACCTTCAGCCTCCCTTCCTCCCATATCTTTGGGAGCCCCCTCACATCTGGGCTCTCCATCAACCCGCTCTTAAACCAGTCGGAAAGCAGCCGGGCAGGTACGTGAATCAGAAGGTATGTGAGCTTGGACTTCCAAAGGGCTCTCCCTGGAAGAGCTGGGACAACCGCATCCGTAGCTCTCCAGCTGCCCTCCCTGCTTGCTCCCATCCTGTGCCAGGGGTTAGGAGAGGGGGACAGTGGCTTTTTCCCCAAGGAAGGGGGTGCTTGTGTTTGCCTTGCTGCCTTGCAGCCCTGGAGAAGCACCAGTGCTAATGGGTGGCCCTGCACTTGTGCTAGAAAGGCATGGGAATGTGAAGTCCTTCCCTGCAGAAATTCCTTGTCTTCCCACCCAATGAAGCTGGCCAAAGGGAGGGAAACCTATGGTGAGCTTCTCCTTGCTAGGATGAAGTTAACAGTTGTTTGCTGGGTTTCTTTTGGGATGAGAGGTATCGCACACTCCTAATTCCCATCTCCCATTCCTGAGTTACTTCCAGCCCTTCCCCTTTGGCTTTGTTGTGAGCACAGCAAACCCCACTGGTGGAAGCTTCCAAACACGAGCGTGCCAACATTGCATTACTTACAACTGCTCATATTTTCCCACCGAGGCAGATTCATTTTTCTTGGAAAATTGCCTATTTAATAAGCAGGGAACTTGAAGCATCGTGAGATTTTTATTTTATTATTACTTATTTCCCCCCAAAAAAGAGTGGGCCTCGTCTTTGGCTGGCACCAGCAGTCAAACAAAAGCACCCTCCTCCTTTTCCATTTGTGCTGCCACTGTCTCGTGCTCCCCTAGCCCAGCAATGCTGGCAGCTCAGCATGCTGGATGCTGGATGCAAAACCCTGCCCAGTGTCCCACTGGGTGATGAGCACTTGAAAACACACGTTAGAGGTGGCTCTGGGTTCTCTGGATCGTCAAATCAGTGCGCCCTTATTTGCCTTCCCAAGTGTGCATGCCTGCATGTAAAGCATGAATGAACACGTGTGCTTGCTCCTGGCCTTTGCAAGCCCTGGGAGGTGGGTGCCTGGCTGTCCCCTGTGTCCATCACTGGCAGCATTTGGTCTGTGTGTGCCCCACCAGCAGCTTGGGTTCAACTGGAAAGGGCTGACCTCAGTGGGAGCCAGGGCCAGGGCATGGGAGCTCTGATTCACTCACCTGGAATGAAGGGAAAGAACGGGATGATTCAAGGGGTTGCTCTTCCCTCCCAGCAGTCACCAAAGAGGGAGATGACCCACTGCTGCTTCCCCTTGGCCGGCCTTTTGGCAAGGTGCTGACAGCCAGAGGAAGCGAGTCAACTGTCAGCAATAGCCCTGTGGCCCCAGCAGCCTGGCTTCTGTTCCAGCCCTGCAGCTACTGCTGAATGAATCATGGAGGCAAAACCCTACACACAAAGTGCTCAGACACCCCCCCCCCAATCCCCTCCTGGTTCTTAGTTTCCATTTCCAAACCTGCTCCTTTTGTTTGACTGGGATTTTATCAGCTTTGGGACATGTTTTTTCCAGTTCAGGCAGCATTTAGACCAGCTCCTGGGTTTGGTTATGTTTAAGGTTTGCCCATCACTACCTCCTGCTGCTGGAGCTGGTGGCCCCGAAGGTGTTAAGTCCAATTCCCTTTTGTTTTATTCCAAGGGGATTCATTAACATGCATTAAACCTCCTATGTGGGGCCATTTTCACTTAAAACTATGGTGACTGCTTTAATCCCAGCTTGTTAACAGGGTGGTTGTGAAGTTTCAGGTAATCCTCACTTGTCTTTAGTTCTGATCACCTTTCCTGAGCATATCTGTGCAGACAGAGCCCATGGAGACATCCCTTTCACGGCAGTAACGTTTGAGCTTCCCATTGTTTGAATGCGATGGAGGGAAATGGTGTCACCCTGTCTTACAGATGGGGGAACTGAAACTGTTCTCACTGATGGAGGTTGATACCAGGGTGCCTTTGGCAGTACAAAAAGTCTGATTTTGATCTTCCCACTCCCTTAGCTACTGTCTAGTTCTTCCTCCCACGGCTTGTCCTGGATCCTTCCTCATTCTGATGATGGGCTGAACGTATTTATCTTCTCTAGTTGTCTTCAAACCTCTCTTTCATCCTTGGTGCCTTGGAAAGGGCTGGCTCGGTGTGATAACTCAGTCATCTTCCCCTTTCGGTAGACAACAGGGTGGTGTTGGCCAGGAGATAATTGAACATGGAGCCTGGTACTGTGTCAGAAACCCAGCATTGTGTATGTATGTGTGCATCCTTTTTGCTGCCAGCCAACGTGACAGTAACAAGCAGGCATCAAAGCTTAGCTGGCATTGAATTGTTGGGTTGCCAGTTGAAACCCTTGCAGTGGGCTCTGAGCATCTTCCAAAGGGTTTAAGTGGTCCTTGGATGGAAACAGCCCTGCTGTGGGCTGACTGTTCCCAGCCTTCTGGTGGCTGATCCTGGCTGGAGAACTTAGGAATTCCTGTTTTCATGCCTTGTGGTGTCCCTGAAATCAAGACTTGTCTCCATGTGGTGCCTTATACTGGGAAACTATTGCTGACTGGCAGCTGATGGTCAGCCTTAGGAAGCAATGGCTTCCCCCCAGAAGGATGGCCCAGCTGTGATGGTCAGAAGGGCATTCCCATAGGGATGAAGGAGTGAGGATCCCACTTGTACCTGTCTGTAAGAGCTGCTGAGCAACAGCTGCGTTCGCTTGTTCTCAGCAGTCGAAAATACCCCGCTCGGGGCATTACACTGTAAATCACAGCGTTCCCTGCAGGAGACTTCCTGGATTCTTGTACATAAGAACCCTCTCTTATTGTGTGAAGAGGAGGAGCAAGGCAGCCAGCTGGTGCAGGCTGTAGTCACAACATCTGACACATCCCAGAGCGAGGGGGAACGGGTGTTCACAGCCTGGCAGGCTCCGGGGATGGAAAGCAAATGGCAGATAAATATACTTCACTTCTTGAGTGCTCTCTGGCTGTGAGATACCCTTGCCCGTGAGCGCACGCATGCACAGCAGCTCTGTCCCCAGCACTGCAGCATCCCTGGGACAGATGGCTGTGGGGCTCACTTGTGGACACTCAAACACTTATTTAAGCTCTTTAGAAAGGAGCTGAGGATCTGAAAACCTTGGAGGGCCTCCAGATGGGTTTTGGGAAAGGATCCTGGATGCACAGGGCTGCTAAAATCACAGAATCCCAGCCTGGTTTGGCTTGGAAGGGACCTCAAAGCTCCTCCAGCTCCACGGGCAGGGACCCCTTCCACTGGAGCAGCTTGCTCCAAGCCCCTGTGTCCAACCTGGCCTTGAGCACTGCCAGGGATGGGGCAGCCACAGCTTCTCTGGGCACCCTGTGCCAGCGCCTCAGCACCCTCACAGGGAAGAGCTTCTGCCTAAGAGCTCAGCTCAGTCTCCCCTCGGGCAGGTTCAAGCCATTCCCCTTGCCCTGTCCCTACATCCCTTGTCCCAAGCCCCTCTCCAGGTTTCCTGCAACCCCTTTAGGCACTGGAGCTGCTCTAAGCTCTCTCCAGGCTGCCCCATCCCAGCTCTCTCACCGTGAAGGAAATGTCAAAACTCATCGAAGTTGAGCCCCCAAAAAGCCGCTTTTTTGCGCAGTTTCCGTGCGCGGGAGGGAGCCGGGGTTGGGGCCGGGGCCGGTTCCTCCCCTGTTCCCCAAGGAAAAGGGGGGATCGGGGGGTGACCTTCCCGGGGTGACCCCCCCCCCCTCTTCCCGGTGACAGCCGCCCCGCCCCGGGGCGGAGCCGTGCCGCAGTGCCGCTGCCTGCGCTGCTCGGTGCTCCCATCTAGCGGGGCCCGGCGCCCCCGGGTGCCGGAGCGGGCCCTTGCGCAGGGCCGGGCTCCTATGAACCGCGTCCCTCTGTGTCCCTCTCCCCACGCAGAGCCCGACCTGGAGGACTGCAGTTTCGGCTGCCGAGGGACGTCGCCCCAGGAGAGTCTCTCGTCCATGTGAGTGTCCTTGAGGAGAGGGCAGGCACCGGGGGGGGATCCGCATCCAAAGCTGCATCCGCATCCAAAGCTGCATCCGCATCCAAAGCTGCATCCGCATCTGCACGGCGGTACCCCGGGAAGCGTGGGATGACACAGCAAGGAAGGGGAGAGAGGCAGCTCCTTCCCTTCTCGTTTAGGCTGGGGATGGGATGGGATGGGATGGGAAGAGGCAGGTTTGCTTTGCTCACAGGAGCCGGGGCTGGCAGGAATGGAGGGTTCCTCCATTCTCTGCCCCACTTTAGGTTGTCAGGAACGGAGGGTTCTCCTCCACTCCACTCGAGGCTGGGGGGATGCAGCCACTCCCAGCGCGAGGCAGAAGAGATGCGGGGAGAAGGTGCAGATGAGGGAAGCATCTCTGACATCTCCCCACCCCTTGCCCAGGTCCCCCATCAGCAGCCTGCCCACCCTCTTCGACCAGACGGTGTCCTGTAGCAGCAGTGGGCAGCTGGAGAATGTTCCCCAGGCCACCCCAAACATCGAGCAGCTCCTGGAGAAGCAGGGCAATGGGGAAGCCGGCGTGAACAGTGAGTCACTTGGGGCATGGGCTGTGGGAGGAGAGGGCCTGGTGCATGGTTGTGTGGGAGCCAGCTGGGATTTTGCCCACAGGCAAAGGAGCCAGGCTGTGCCATGGGGGAGTAGCTGGCAGTGGGGCTGGGATCTGGTGCCAGTCTCCTCCCCCAGTGTGGACTAACTGTGGATCCCCTTCCCCTCTTTCCTCCCCTGACCCTGACCCCGTCCCTCTTCCCCCCTGCCACCCCTGCAGTTGTAGAGATGCTCAAAGCCCTGCACTCGCTGCAGAAGGAGAACCAGCGGCTCCAGGAGCAGATCATGACCCTGACAGCCAAGAAGGAGCGTTTGCAGCTCCTCAATGTCCAGCTCTCCGTCCCTTTCCCCGTGGTGACCACCAGCAACGGCCCAGGCAGCCAGGCCCAGTACATCCTGCCTCCCAACGGTGAGGGGACCAGTGGGGTGCATCACCCTGTGCCCTTCCATCACAGCGCCCTGGGGTGGCGGTGGGGTGGTTGTGACCCATTTCTTCCTCTGTAGCCACTGTCCCTTGCTATTGCTGTGGCAACCTCAGGCTCCTCCCCTGACTCAGCATCCTCCCTCCTTTCCTCCTTACAGTGTGCAACAACGACTCCCTGAGCATCAGCAAGAGCCCCCCCTGCAAGAACAGCTTTGGGATCGAGAACTCGCTCTCCACTTCCTCTGAGGTACACTGGCCACCGCATCCACCAGGCAGCTGGGGAAGGGGCCTGGGGAGGGAGCAGAGCAGTGCAGTCCCAATGCTCTGGTTTGATAGCCAGCAAATAGTCCAGGCCCAGCAATCAGGTTTCTTCCTCTGGAGTGCCCGTCCTTCAGTTCATCTCAGTGCTGAGGGTCTGTGTTGAGTAGCTGAGACTGGGAGCGCGAGGTGAGGATGCTCCTGGGTTATTCTGGCTGCACTCCTAGAGCTCCAGCAAAGCATAGCTGAGTGCTGGGACGCCTCTGAGCACACACCTGCGCTTGCACTCGCAGCACTCCCCCTTTCCCACCTCCAGCTCCTGCCCTTTGGAGCTGAGCTGAGCTCATCACCAGCTGCCCCAGTCCGATGCTCTTGTGTCCGTTTCTCCCCCAGGACCCTCATTCAGGTTGCCCCAGCAGGAGCAGCTCTTCCCTGTCCTTCCACAGCACTCCTCCACCCCTGCCCATGCTGCAGCAGAGTCCTGCCTCGCTACCCTTGCCCGGGGTGCAGCAGGTGAATGGCCTGGCCAGGGTGGCAGGCAGCGGGCTGGGGGGTGGCCCCACTGCCAGCCACAGCCTCTCCACGGTGCCCATGGTGGACGGCCTGATGGGGACCCTGGCAGGAGGTCAGCAGATGCCCATCAACGGGATCCTGGGGAACCTGAACGGAGCTCAGGCTGCCCAGCCTCCGAGCGCGCTGCCGCAGGCCAGCGGGCCACCGACCCTGCAGCTCTCCACCAGCCTGAGCAGGTGAGGATGGAGCTCGAGGGGACAGCCCTGCCCTCTCCAGCCCATGCTTAGCACTGGGAGGGAGGGATGGAGGGATGGAGGGAGGGAATCCCTATGGATGCAGGACCAAGGCGGGCGGCACTGACCTGCCCTGCCCTGCTCCCCTTGCAGCGTGAGCCCCCTGACCGAGCAGCAGCGGCACGTCCTGCACCAACACGAGCAGCAGCTCCAGCAGCTTCAGCAGCTCCTGACTTCGCAGCCACTTAACCCCGTAAGTGTGCCTTTGCATGCACCTTCTGATGAGCTGCTTGATGGGAAAGCCTCAAAGCAGAGAGCCAAACTGGGAGCTCCCTCTTTGCATGGCACCCATGCCCACAGGGCTGCAGCATCCCCAACCCAGGAGGGAGGAGAGCAGCTTTAGGCAGGAAGATGCAGCACCTCCCGAAGGAATGGGGATGAGCGTCTGAACTCGCTTTGTACCAAGGCAAAACTCCAGTCTGGGTTTCCCACATCCCACGTGGTAACCCCAAGCAGCCATAAACCCAGGAGCGCTGTTGGCTCCTCCAGCACCTTTGAATGCAAATCGTGCCTGTTCCTGTGCTGCCAGCACGCAGGTCTCTGGGCTTGCAGATGTGCTGGGGCCCACAGGAGAAGAAGAACTCGCTTGAGGACACTACTTGAGATTAAAACGTGATAAGCACGTGATAAGCTCAGTCCTGAGGCAGGTGAGCTCTGTCTGGGCACATTGATGTGGAGATGCCAAGGGGAATGTGTAGGTGGCTGAACGCTGGGGTCACAACAAGGATCAAGGAGGCTGCTCTGGGGATCTTGGCTCTCTGCCTGCATCCTCTTGGGTGGAACAGCAGCCCCATCCCTGGCTGTTGTGGGAATGGCTGCGTGGATCCATGGTAAACAAGCCCACATTCACTTGGCCTGCAGAAGCCTCTGTGTTGTCCCTGCCCTGCGGTGGAGCTGCCTGGGAGTGCCAACAGCTCCTGTCAGTGAAGCAGGGCTCATTCAGACATCCCATCAACTTGGCCCGTTGCTTTGGATAGGTTTCTGGGTCAGGCTATTTATAACCCAAGGCAAAACAGATTTGAAAGGGCTTCTCTTTAGAGCAGCTGATGTCACCGTGTCATCAGCTGCATCCCTGCGGGTACAGGAACAATGTCGGCTCTCAGCCCGCAGCATCGGTCGATGGTTGCTATGGTGATTGCACGGTTGGGTTGGATTCGAGGGCATCCCTCGGGGTGCAGGTGAGCCCTTGTCCCCCCACCCGAGCCCAGCTCACCTACACTGAGCCTGTGTGTCAGGGTTGAGGCGTGCAGCAGGACAGGCTGGGGAAGGAGACTGAGGACAGTGGATGCCACAAGCCATGGGTTGGTTGATGGGAAGGAGGGAGCAGATCTGTGTGCCTGCAGGTGTCCCAGTGAGGGTCAGCTAATCCTATGCTTCAGGAAGTAATGGGGTTGGAAGGGTCATAAGCACAGGCTGTTAATGAACACAAGACACTGGTCCTCTCTCTACCTATAGAGGTGTGATCAAGGGGACTTCCTCCCTATCCCCAGTAGCATCGCCTAGGATGGAGCGTGCCCCATGTGGCTCCTGGTTCCTTTGTGTTCGGTGTCACCTCTCTCCCTGAGCCCTTGGTCGCTCCCATTTACTTCTGTTCCTCACCCTTCCCTGCAGGAGCAGCAGGCCCTGGTGTTCCAGATGATGCAGCAAATCCAGCAGAAGAGGGAGCTGCAGCGGCTGCAGATGAGCAGCTCATCCCAGCTGTCCATGACCAGCCTCCTGGCCGCCACCTCTGCCCCCCTGCACTCCAGCACCAGCGCCCTGATGACCTCAGCCCCACAGCCACCCCACAGCAGCTCTCTCATGGCCTCCCTCTCCCCACAACAGCTCAACCCTAGCAATGCCCTCCTGGCCCCTCAGGCCACCCCACCGCTCAGCACTCCTGGGAGCAGCCTCCTGGCTTCGGGAACGGGCATCCCACCGGTCCTTACAGCACAGACTAACCCGTTTCTCAACCTGCAGGCTGATGGCAACACCCCGAAAGGAACGGTGCGTATGCTGCTAGCACTACCCTAACCCCACTGAGCTCGTGGTGCTGGGCGCTGTACAGAGCCAGTCTGCACTTGGGGGAGCAAGGGCACCACGTAGGCACAGAGCCAGGATGCTCCACTAGCTTTGCTGCGGCACTGCCTAGCCTATGTCACGTCCTGATCCTACCTCCAAGGACTTTTGTAGGGCCCAGGCAGGGTCATGGGTAGGCACAGAGGCTCCCGAGGTGCCCTTCCATGTGTGTGTGTGCCGATGCGCGCCAGATGTGCCGCAGGGATGGGACAGATGTGCCATCTGACACAGGGATGGGGCAGATGTGCCATAAGACCTGGATGGGACAATGTGCCCCTGGCCCTATTGGAGCCTCGTGATGAAAGACGAAGGTGACTGCATGTTGAAAGCCAGGGTTTAGGAGGAATCTTGCACCCAAGAGGAGAGGTGGTGACGAGGTTTACGGCCTCTCTGTAAAGCAGCCTTGTACTGGAACACCAGTGCCTAGGGACTGATGGCGTGATGCTGTCATCCCCATCCCTCCCTTGGCCTCTGCCTGTACCCAGAAGGTCCAGCCCTGGTTGGAGATGTTCAGGAGCCAAAGGCCAGGGTTAAGGGGCCGGTTTGGTCTGAAGTGGGCAGAGGGGGAACCCACATCTCCATTGGTGTCAGAGGAGCCCGAGAGGTCGCGGTGAGCAGGGCCAGGGTTGCTGCCCCTCCGGTACTGATACCTGTCTCCTCTGCGTCTCTTTTCTGTTTGTTTTTCAAGAGCATGAATGAAAAGGGAGCTCCTCTTACCCAGGACAAGGGCTAAGCTCCCCCCCTCACCCCGAACAAACCAGCAGCCAACTCCTCTCAGCCAGGGGAATGTGGCTTTCCACTGTCAACCTTGATACTGTTAGAGCAATGAGCACAAGGCTTCCAAGAAGCGTTTCCTGCCGCTGGGCAATGCCAAGAGGTGCTTTGGAAGACAGAACATCTCTGACCGAGCCCTGGCGTCACAAGGAGGGAAGGTCCCTGGGCTCAAGGTGAAGCTGTGTTCCCATGCAGAGTGGAGGAGGGAGTTAACACCAGATCCCTGCTGAGCACGAGCGTGTGTTCATGTGTGTAACCCCCCCCTCAAACCCAGGCCAAGGCGTTAGAGACCATGGAGCATCCTTGGCCAGAGACCATGGAGCATCCTTGGCCAAAGACGATGGTGGAAGGAGGCTCCTATCTGCAATGCCCTCGGAAGCAGCACTGGGGATGTGGTGGCAGTGCCCACATGCTCTGCTTCACCCCAATGGGGATGTTAAGGAGTCCTCTAGCTGAGATTTCATCCGCCGGGCTCTGAAGATGCTCTTCTCTCTGTAGCCATCACATGGAGTCCCAACACCTCAGCTGGATCCAGCAAAGACACGAGTGGTGGAGCGATGGGTAAGGACCAGTGCTTGGGGAGGTGAAAGCCACCTAATTCCTTAAAGGATGATGCCACATCTACTCTGGGTTCCATGCTGTTCCATACCACGTGAAAAGCACACTCCTGCTCCTTGTGCTGGCCTCCAACATGTCCAAAGGTTAAAACCCAGCTGCAAAGGGGCTCGTAGCCAGTGTTACCCCTCTCATAGCCAACTCCAGGAGGTGCATTTGAACCCGGCGGTTGTTCCCCAGCCTGAAGTTGGGAGGTAGAAACGTGTGCAAAGAAGAGAGAGTCCCCAGTCCGGTCCCTGCTCTTTCTTGCCCACCACAAACCATTCCAGGCTGGCAAACCCACGTTCTTCCACTGGTCCTGGGCACGTGAAGAGGGATCTCCAAGCAATGGGACAAACAGGTCCCAGCCTCCTGAGCTAGGCCAGCAAAGCCTTCGTTGTTCTCCACCTTTTGACCTTAACTCCCCTCTTGCAGCCTGGAAACCTCAGCAAAGAAATGGGCTCCCTCTGAGCTTGGATGCGATGGATTCATGGAAGGATGGAGCAGGGCGGCTCTGGAGGAAGGGGAGCATCAGCGTCAAACGTCCAAGCACCCCTTCTCCTCCTCCTCATCCCCTGCTTCCATCCAGAGCTCCTGGGGGCAGGCAGGAAGATTCCAGATCATAGAAAATGGATATGGATATTTCTCAGCACATTCCCACTGCCTCTTCACTTAGTTTGCACTATTCACACTTGTCAGCAGTGGGGCTGTGCTGATAGGATGGGAAAAGCTTGTTCTAGGCAAAAAAAAACCCCATCTGCTGAATAGCTTCCTTTTACTTCTTCTTTTTGTGTTTCCTTGGAAGATTGTCACCGTGATGGCTTAGAGGAGAGCAAATCCCTTTCTGATCTCAGCCTCCAGTTCTGTGAACTGGGCAGAACGCTGCTGTCTGCTCAGAAATATATATATATTATATATATATTATCTTTTTTTTTTTTATATCTATAAAGAAAAGCTAATGTTTTAACAAGGTTAAGAAGCTATTGGAAAGATGGAGATGGCAGCTAAAAGTGGAAATGCCCAGCACTGAGAAACCACCATCTTTCAGCTGCAAATGGTTCAACTCTTTGGCTCCTTGTCCCTGGAATTGCTCCAGCACAACTGTGTCCTTGCACTTATATTCTCTCTTTTTCTCCCCTCACTGTGGTGTTCCCCATCCCCTCTGCAAGCAGAGGTGCCCCCAAACCCCCCAACACAAGGACCCTCTGCTCTATATGGGATCTCTCCCACCTTGGGGCTCCTTCCTTGCTGCCCCCTCCATGTGGGGAGTCTTGGGCTTGAAAGCAACAAGCAGAGCATCCCTGGTTGTGTGTGGGATGGCTGCATCCATGCGAAGGCTGCACCAGGCAAACTTTGGCAAGGAACGGGTCCTTGGGATTTGGGAACAGACATTCCTTAATGCTGAATGGGGTCAGCAAGGTGATGGATTCCTCACCCTGGAATCGGTACCAGGAAGAGAGGGGATGGGAAGGTGGGAAGGCTGAGGAGCATCCATCCCTTGTGGAGCGAGTCATGGTACAACGTGTGTTGCCTCCCAGGATGAGCAAAACCAGTGTTCAGATCAGTGCTTTGGTGCCCAAATCCTTGGGGGACAAGAGCAAACTCAATGGCAGGTACTTAGCAGTGAGTTTGGAGTCAAGGAAACTCGCTGCACAGGGAAAATAATGGAGAAGGTTGGGAACCAAGGGCTGAATTCCAGGAATTTCACTGTAAGCAGGGAGGGCTGAGCTGCCTCGTGTCCCGCATCCCTGCTTTGTGCTCCCTGTGCCAGGGATGTGCTGGTGGTGGCAGGAGTTTGAGGATGAAGTCACTCATGGAGCAGGGAGGGATGAGGATGGAGAGGAAGAGACATCCATAGAGCACTTATTCCCTGGCAGCTTCCAAAGGCGCCCGGTCCCTTTGGCACATCCTCCTCACCTCAGCCCCTCAACCTGCCCTAATCCCTTTCCAAGACAGAGGAAGGAGGAGGTCAACATCAACCATTATCTCTGTGAAAGAGGGCGAGCAGGGGAAAGAGAAACTAAAAGCTAAAGATTATCTGTGTTTCAGTTGCACTGGGGTATGTTTCTTTACCCGTTTTGATGCTAATGTCTCATTTAGTATGTTGCATGTGTCCTTTTTTGTTTTGATTTGGGTTTTTTTATTGAATAAAAGAGAAAAAATGTGTATATTTTTGGCAATTTAAGGTAATGTAGCTAAGATATATTTTTTTCACGCTGCTTGACTGTTCTTTATTATAATAAATAATATTAATATTAATGCCAAAGACTCTTTGAATACAGCTTCAAAATGGATGGGATCTGTGTGGTTTGAGGTCCTGGTGCTGGGCTGAGGTCGTGCTGCCTGCACTGATGGGATGCTCAGGGAAGCTGCCTGGCTCCTGCATCGATTTGGCCGTGGGGAGGGGATGGAGACACGAACAAGGTGGTTGTTCATTAGCAAAAAGCCTGTCGTCGTCGTCCCCCCAATACCATTTCCTTGTGCTCAGCAGCTGAGATGCCCCAAACACTGGCCCAGAGAAGCTGGGGCTGCCCCATCCCTGGGGCAGGTTGGGGACAGGGGCTTGGTGCAAGCTGCTCCAGTGGAAGGGGTCCCTGCTCCGTTGGAGCTGGAGGAGCTTTAAGGTCCTTTCCCAGCCGAGCCCCCCAACCCGCGGACGGGAATTAGGGGGGGAAATGGGGCGGCACCAACAGGCCAGGACCGCGCTTCTCATGATGGGGAACAGACCGGGAGCTGCGGCACCCCAAGGGCCACGGAGGAACCTTCCTCCGAGCCCGCCCCGTCTCTTCCGGCGGCACCGGGAGGAGGAGGAGCCGCTGCGGATGGAGGTGACCGGAGCCATGCGGCTGCTGACGCTGGTGAGAGCGGCGGAGGGGGGGCTCCGGCGGTACCGGGACCCGTTTCGCATCCGTTCGGTGCGGCGGAGCTCGGGCTCTCCGCAAGCGGTGATCGCCGCTAAGGAGCCGTTCGCGGTGGAGCTGAAGGCGGGCAGGACGTACGCGTGGTGCTCCTGCGGCCACAGCAAGCGCCAGGTCCGGGATGGGGACCCAGGGAGGCGGGTTTGGGGGGGGGTGTAACCAGTGAGGGCAAACCCCCCTGCTCTGATACCCCCCCATCCCCGGTTCGCTTTGCAGCCTTTCTGCGACGGCGCCCACAAAACGGCAGCGCCGGGGCTGTCCCCGCTGCGCTTCACCCCGGAGGAGGATGCGCGGGTCCGGCTCTGCGGCTGCAAACGCACCCGGACCCCCCCGTACTGCGACGGCACCCACAAAGGGGAGGAGGTGCAAGGGGCCTCGCTGCCCCCCCGACCCTGACCCCTGCACCGCCGGGATGCTCGGTGTGGATAAACGGGAGGAGATGCTGAGCTCCCACCGCAACCAACGGCTGAGAGGGGGCAGCAGCTTTGCCTTCGGGCCCCACTGAGGATAACGGGACTTATCCCGGCGTGGTTTCCATTGAGTCAGCCCGGTTGGAAAAGACCTTTAAAACCCATCACATCCAGCCATTGCCCAGCACTGAGCCTTATTGAACCTCATACAATCAGCCCTATTGATCCAGATCCCTGCACAGAGCCTTCCTCCCCTCCAGCATGTCAATGCTCCCACCCGAGTGTGCACTTGATCCCCCCATCATTAAACAAGCCTGGCCCCAACACCAAGCCCTGCAGGATGCAGGATGCAGGATGCAGGGCAGAGGAACGGGGTGCCTGCAGTTGTGCAGGCAGATGGAGGGATCGACAGTTCTGCAGCATTTATTACATTTACAAAGCTGTATAGTTATACAAATGTTTAACCAATAACAATATATGAATATATTACAAGACATTAAAACGTCATACAGGATGCAGACATACAGAGCAGTTTGGTTTGTACCATATAGGAAAGAACAGAAAACAAAACACCCCCCCCCCGGCCCCGAGCCCCCCACAGACCCCGACCGAGGCACCTCAGCTGCCTCCCTCGGCCCATTCTGACCTATTTACAAGGAGAAAAGGGGTGTTAAAGTCAAGACAAACAGAGCCCCCCAACACGCTTCGAGCCCCTCATCCAGCCCCAGCTTGGGGATGGGGGAGAGGAACAGAAGAGGCCCCATTGGGGACCCTTCCCAAACCCATTCCCGGAGCCGATGGTGCTGCTGTCCCAGCCGTGCTGGGGGTGCAGTGCTTCCAACAAATGAATTAAAAGGATAACACTAAGAAACACACTGACAACATCCCACATTTCCTGACCTTTGGAATGGGGCTGTTCAGACAATTCCCGTGCCGCTTTGCCTTTGGTCCTCACTGTGCCGCTGTGGGGGTGCTGGCTGGGTGCTGCAGGCACTTGCTTGGTTTATGTCCCCCTTCCCCAGCAAGGGCAGGAATAACACCCCCCCACCTCGGCTCTGTGCTCCTGGGGCTCGTGTGCTTTATATGGTCCATGTAGAACGTTGGTCCATTGCGGGGCTGCCACCCAATGCACGGCAGCACCTTCCCACCATCGCCCCTCACCGAAGCCTCCTGGCTAAAGGCACTGTACTCTAGAGTTTCTCTATTTAAAAACCCAATGGGGGTGTGGGGGGGTGTGGGAAGGACGAGGGGGAGAATGCAAAGAAAATGCAGCATTGAAGCTGTTGTGGGGTGCTTTGAAGCCCCTGGGTCCCACAAAGACTCATCCAGCGCTGCCAAAACAGCCCCCAATGGTTTAGAGCAGAGTCAGTGCTGGCACCAAGGAGACACCAGTATCTAGTGGGCCTTGTGCTCCTGCCCTCCACCACCCACCCTACTTACTGTGCATGAAGGGGAGCGTCTGCATGGGGCTTCACGAGGGCAGAGCCTGAACCTTCATCCAGAGACCACATGGGAAGAGCAGATAAAGGAACAGGGAGGCGCTGGGCAAGGCAAAGCCTGCAAGCGATGCTCGATGCCAACCAATGGACCCTGGTTATCAAACCTGGGGCTCAAAACAGAAATGAACACAAACATAGCAATAAACCACAGGGCACGGGGGGGATGGAGGGGCAGTTTTTGGCTTCTGTGCTTGGCCTTTACCTGTGCTTCACCCTTACCTGTGCAGCTGCCAGTGTCCCCCTGCCCCATTGAGGGGAGAGGGATGGGGAGGAGAGGGAAAAGTGGTAGAGAAACTGAGCAAGGAAGGCAGCAGCGGCTCCCAGCTCTGGCATGCAGCTACATCAGTTAAACCCAAAGGGAAACGAAAGGGAAAAAGAGGGGGCGGAGGAAGAAAAAAAGATCATTTAAAAATATTCCACCACCTTTATGCATCTTATTTGCACTTTAAATTAATCTGGTCGATCGATAGAAAATAAGTATGTATAATTTGTCTTGTTTTGCTTTCGTTCTTTGCTCTCCCTCTGTACACGTATATACGTATATATATAATATATAGAGATCTAGAAAAGCCAGCCAGGAGTCCCTCTTCCTTTAGGTCAAGGCTGAGGCCGTGCTGCCGTTGACAGTCGCTTTGCGGCACCGGGCGGCGGGCAGCGGGTGGCAGTTCGAGGAGCCATTGAGCACGGGGCCGGTACCGGTACCAGTACCGGTGGAGCTGGGTGAGCCATGGGATGGGGTACACGGGCTGGGGAGGGAGGAGGAGGTGGCCGGCAGCGTGGCCGGGCTGTGAGCTTTGTCGCTGACCGATTCACACTCGGAGGCGCCGCTGGTGTTGGTACCCTCGGGGGTGATGGGTTGGGAGAGCTTGAGCCGCTTGCAGGCCGGTTGGACGCGGTACTTCAGGGGCAAAGGCCCGTTCTGCAGGGGGGGAAAGGGGGGAGATGTGGTACCCGGCACCCTGCGGATGGGCACCAGCGCTCCAGCCTGCCCTGGAGATACAGGGAGAGAAGAACAAGCAGCATCCCCCCCACCCAGCCTCCTACAAAGCCCATCAGGAGCAAACACGGTTGCAAGGAAAAGCTCGTGGGGTTTATCCATGGAAGTGCCCCAATTTTTGAGCTCTGATTCTTAAGCTTTTCAATTCCAAAGTTCTCCAGTTTTAAAGCTCTCCAATTTTAAAGTTTTTTCAGTTTTAAAGTTCCTCAATTTTAAAGTTCTTCAATTTTAAAGTTCTTCAATTTTAAAGTTCTTCAATTTTAAAGTTCTTCAATTTTAAAGCTTTTCAATTTTAAACTTCTTCAATTTTAAAGTTCTTCAGTTTTGAAGCTTTTCCATTTTGAAGTTCTTCAGTTTCTAACTCCTTCCATTTTGATGCTTCCCAATGCCCTCAGCCCTCCCCTCAAGGACTGCTTTCCCAAGCTTTCCTCCAAGACAAGCCCCCCAGTGCCCATACCCATAGCAGGGAAAGAGGCAACTGCACTTACCCTCCTCCAGGGATAGATGTAGGCGATGTCCATCAGGGTGTAATACTCCTTCAGGGGCTCATCTTCATAGAGCACTTCAACCTGGTGCAGGGAACAGGGTCAATCCTTCAGCATGGGGACAGAGGCACCACCATTTCCCCCCACCAGAGCAGCTCATTGGGATTTGCCATCCCCAATGGTGCTGCTGGAGCTCCATCACTGCTTTTGCTGGAGCAACCTCCCCATTGACACGGAACACGCCGTAAAGGCTGGATCCATCTGGGATGCGGGGATGCAAAGCCTGGGATGCACAAAGCGAAGCAAGGCGAACGTGCAGCAGAGGATGCAGCCAAATGGCATCGCCCTCCTCCGAGCCCAGAGGAGCGCATCCCAAGCCCGAGCTCACCTTGTACTTGCTGGGAACATCCATCTTATTGCGGAGGAACTTGGCCAAGTGCATGACGGTCATGGCAGCCGGGCAGCGCAGGAACCGCAGCCCGTTCTTCTGGGGACCGAGAGGCGTTGCTGAGTCCATGTGCAAGGAAAGGGGCAGCTCCCATCTCCCTGTTCCCACCCCATCCCAAAAGCCCTGCAGGCAGGCGCACACGGAGCTCTCCATGCCGTGGTCCCATCACGCTCACCTTCTCCTTCTCCAGGTCCCCGTTCTCAACGCTCCCTTTCTTCTCTTCTCTGGATGGGGAAGGAAAGAGAACTCAGGATGAGGTTTATGGAAGGGATTAAAAGGCAGGGAGAAACAATAACCCATCAGAAGGGCTGTCCCTGAAGGGGGAACATCCAGTGACCTTCAACCAAGCTCTGGCTTCCCCCATGCAATTGCTTCATTTCCAACCCCTATGCACTGCAACTGCTGCCCAGGCACCCACATTCCCTGAATCCCTCTGCCCTGGATGCTGCTGGCATCCTTGGAGGCCACCGCTGGAACAGGGGATGTGGCAGCCCTTGGGCTCTGCTGCCTGGGGATACAGGGATGCCGCTGCCATAGCAACCACCCACAGAGGATGCAGGATGCGGGACCAGGGCAGATGGGGTTTGGGTGCTCCTCTGGCCACTCAAGCATCCCGGGATACTTGGCCCCAAGCAGGACCATGTCAACTACCACCAGTTCACCTCTCAGAGGTGCCCAGAGAAGCTGTGGCTGCCCCATCCCAAGTTCAAGGCCAGGTTGGACACCGGGGCTTGGAGCACCCAAACCATTCAGTGATGCCATGACCTCAGCTCCATGTCCGGAGCAGGAAGAAAAGGTGAGAGCTCATTCCCAACCCCAAAACCCAAGGCAGCATCTTGGGAGTAACCAGAAAATGGTACCTTGACCCTTCATAGAACTCTATGGAGAGGCTGACAATCTCATCATCTGTCAGGTTCCCTTTGTCCTGCTCGGAGACTTCCCCACGATCCTCATTGGACCCATTGGGAACTGCAGGAGGCAGAGGGAAGGAGAGGCTGAGGCATGGAGGGGGGCACAGCAGAGGTGATGGGGGGTCCCTGGGGCTGACACTCACCCTCTGCCACGGGGTAGGCTGCATAGAAGTCGCGCCTCCTCTTCATCTCATCTACAGGAGGAGGAAGGTGAGGGGGAAACCATCACGCCAAGGGGATGCTGTCCCAACCAGCAGCCCCATCACAAGCTGCCCATAGGACCCCATAGGAGGGCAATGGCTGCCAGCATCGCTTCGTGTAGCTCCCCCCAGCAGCGGATGGAGCCATCCCTGTCCGTTCCCACCAAGCATTATCCTCCTGTCCCAGCCCCAAGGATAGGGGGGTGCATGGGGACCAGCCTCACTGGTGGGGGGGAGCGAGTTACAACCAACCCCAAACCCACACAATGATAACTGTGCATGGCGGTACCTTTGAAAAGCCCCGGGACCAGTTTGTACACGATGTCCTGAAGGGTTTTGTCTGACCTGAGGTGGGCAAAGAAACAGGAAAAGAGGGGGAAATCAGCTGGAATAGGGAGCAGTTTGCTTCCAGGGCTGTCCTGGTTGCCATTCCCACCCATCTCCCA